TCATTCAACGATATATATTATTTATTTAATTATACTAACAGTATCCACATCCATTAGTAATTATAAGCAATGTATTATTGGGTCATATTATCTATTTTAACTAAATTGTTGTTTATTAACTAAATTTTTTAACAAAATTAAATTGTCTTACATATATTTTTTCATCAACTTTTATTACTTGGTCAGAAACAAAAAAAAAATGTAAGTTATTGAAGCAGAAACTGGTAAAGCAAGAGGCGAAAACACGGTCCCTAAGACGAGGATCGATTAACAATGTAATAATAAAATTATGATTGTACTCAAATAAAGTAAAATTCCAAGAGCATGATTAACTCCGATTTTTTAGTCGGAGTTCTTAACTCATGATTTAACAAAAAAAAAAATTCATGTTACATTTTTAGATAAGAAACGGCTCTTGGAGCATGTTTATTGCATGTCCATTAAGTTGAGTCTCTTAGCGTACAGTTTCTTAGTTTTTCAACTTAAAAAATTTAAGAGACATCTCTTAAATTCCTTATTTAAGGGACGTCTCTTAACTTTTTTAGTTAAAAGCTAAGAGACCATACGCTAAGAAATCCAACTTAACTGACTACAATAAACATGGTTTTATATCTCTTATTTAAGAGACGTTTCTTAGTTAAAATCTTAGAAAAGTTAAGAACCGACTTAAGTCTTAACCTTCACTTAAGAGACTGAGTTTAATCTTAGTCCAATGAGTTAATGAGCTAGTTCTTTTCAGAATTCATATAATATTTGTGAAACTAATATGAGACATACAATCGTACTCCAAAATTTCTCGAGGTAATGAGACACCTTTTAGGAATTATGGGTTCGAGGCCCATTAAGAAAGAAAAAGAAGCGATTCGTATGCCGGCGTCAAAGTCAGAAATCAAAATCGTTTATATAATTTACAATAAGAACAAACAAAAGAAATACATATTGGCATACATGCATGCATACTGCATATACCTACATTATACATATATGTCTATGAAACACATATGCACACGTATGTGATTATATTAATAGAAAAACGTCAACTTATCTTATCTAATTTGTGATTCGAGGACTCATTGAACGAAATTATTTACTATTTCTTCTCAATTTATAATTAAATCCATGCTTACTCCTAACAAAAGAATGTAAGTGCACGCTTATCTGATTATATAAATTTATGTGAGAGCCAAACAGGTGTCCATAGCATATTAATACCGTGTCCCTAAATGGCAAAACTAACCCAAAAAAAAAAAGATATGTGGTAACCCTGATTCCTGACTGATCTTCTAGCATTTTCTCTTTCTCAGTTTATGGATGATAATGAAGTCGCTTTCACCATCTTCAAAACGTATATGAAAAATTAAGAATAGTTGCCCAAAAAAAAAATTAACAATCATATCATTAACAAAAAGTAAGAAAATATGATAGGCTCTCCAAATTTTCTAGAATATTCGTATATAATGTTTAAAGCAAAATATATATAATGGTTTATTCTGTTTTCTTTTGTCAAGGTTTATTGTGAACCGAGACAAACTAACATGGAGGACCATGAGATTTATAGGATCGTAAACATAATCAAATTAGTTTTAATAAAAATTTAAAACCATATATGATCCATTGTATAATATTCTTTACAGATTTGAGAACCAAAGCGAATAATTCAATGAATGTGTCCAGAACCGTCCATACCACATGCCAAAGTGTAACAAAATCGAGCTATACAGAATATTAAAAATATATCAGGTTGAGATTATCAGCAAAACTTATTTTAAACACAAAACTCATTTCAATGCAATCGTCACAAAATCCTCGAATAAGAAGAATCGAACATACCGTTACTCCAAAACATATTTTAATTAAGATAAGGTAGCCACGTAAGAGAAGTCGAGTACATAGAGGCACTGAGAGTCCCGTCAATCAAAAGCATATAAACTCCGAGATCCGTTTCTGTTCGACATGAGGTCATCATAGCACGTGTTTGGTTTACAAACTTTTTATGAAGTTCAACGTAGATATAGAAAGTGGGACCACTGAACGTTTTCATTGACGCGGCCTACAATGCCGTAATTGCACACAACACACTTCCAAATTCCAATGACCAAAACTCTTTTGTCATTTTTAGGATATATGTTGTCATTTTCTTCCCCCCTTTATGATTTTTAAGTATAAACAAGCCTTAAAAATTAGAAGAAAAGAGATTAATGACTGTGGTAGGTAGAGGTTATTTCACACGCGGTTGTAACCATTGTTACGTCTCTTATATACAAGGGTTTTCTGACTAATCATGTCTCATGGGTTAAAGTGTGAGCGCGAACGAAACAAAAGAGACATTATCATTCTTTTACTTCATAAGCAGAAGATCAGTAATGTGAAGTTAATGACAGAGCTAATAGCATTTGGCTGAACATTATACTAAACGTGTCTAAGAGAAAAAGCTGTAAGATCACTTTTTGGGTGCACATGTTAAATTAAGTTCATTTTGTTACAATATTAAAGAAAATGGAAAGTGGAATTAACTAAAAACATATGTACAATAGCCACTAGCAAATAATAAAAATTATCACTTTTAACAACACAAAAATGCTACAATATATAACTTGTTGGATTTACTAATGGGTTATAAAGTTACCGATATTGTTCACTAAACTACATTGTGTACTAAAAGGATTCAAAACGATGATTAAGCTTTGTCATTTGTATTTTGATTAACATAAACCGGATACTAAGTCACGTGTGGAAAATAAAAACTTAGAGGAAGATGAAACGTTTATGTGGAAAATCCTTTAATCTTTTGTAAAATGTTAAGAATTGTACCATTTTAAAAAAAAAAAATTACTTTGTTGTGAGCAATTTATTTGGAAACTAAAGAAATAACAACACCCAATTCAAGAGAATCAACAGAGAATAGAAAAGAAAAGACAACACAAGTACAAGCGGACTAGTCAAGGTGGTCGGTAAATGGAGAGACAGAATTGAAGTGGTGATTGAGCTGGTGGGGATCTTTGGCTTGAGCTAGAGCAGACGGACACGTAGAAGCCTGTCCAGGGCGCGGTGAGTGGCGATATAGATGCTCGCCTATAGACACTTGGATCTCGATATGAGATGTTTTAGTGGAGTTGATTTAGGTTTAGCTAGGTTTTATTGGATTATCCATCATTTCCGAGTTATTTCTAAAGTATATCTATATACTAAAATATGAATTTTGTTTTGTAAGAGAAAAGAAGTGGCTTCAAAATTTTACACTTTTCCATGAATCTATTAGTATATCTAGAATGCGAAGAATGACAAACCTTTTAATGGAACAGAATGTTGGAGAAATGCTAACCAAAAGAAAGAAGTGGACGAAGTTCATGTCGATCATCCCACCACACTTGTTAAGACATTACCCTCTTTGACCCATCGAATCCCAACTTACCAAATTAATGTTTCATGGATCGATAATGACAATACCAATAATCTAGGATAGAGTTTTAAGGATCAAATGGATACTAAATCTTTAGGACTACGTGTGTAACAAAAATCTTTCGGTCATACATATTAAAAGGAAAAGTATATTATAGACAGCATCATGATTCATGCATGAGAAACATGAAGATATTGAGGATCCATTTTGAAACGGACCATTTAAATCTAGTAGATATGACTACGAGGTTGGAATCTATCTGATAATTTCGAGAGCGTGAACTTGCTTCATGTTCTCTGGAATATGAATGAATGGGCAGATCAATTAGCGAAAGAAATTAGGACCAAAGACATTATTTTCTCTCATAAGTTTCGTCTAATAATAACATGACCTAACCAAATGAGTAGGTGACCAAAAAAATTAGACACTGCTCAGAAGGCCAGAACAGTTCAGTGAATTCACGCTATGTAATTTGATTATCAGTTACTATTTATGTTGGGTAATATATTGCATTATAATGAAATAGGGAAATACAATAATGTGAGCCAATACGTGGGCCACAAGAAACGAAGACTGATTTGTCTTGAGACGCAGACACCTAGCTTCCTTTTCCAGTAAAACACTTCAAAAGTATAATTCCATTTTTCCACTTATATTAATACTATTATTTCCTTTTTTTTTTTATCATTTAGTGGCCTCTACCATAGTTCGATTGAAATTGATCAGTCTTGTTGTCGTATTTTCTTATTATGATGGGTTATTATTTTCTTATTATCTTTGATAAAAAAGTATTTTAATTTTTTTGTATTAACACAGCATTATGTAAACCTTCTTTGTGTTCGTGTATGTCGTCGATATTTTTGACGAAAATGATATGATCTAGTTATTAATGAATTACTCAAAAAGTAAGAGAAATGTTTAACTTTGACTCGAACGTTTTGGCTATGGATGGACCTGCAAGCATCCAGTCTTATGTGCGAATATACTTTCGGAATGAAATTTTATCAACTACATTATTTTCAGCAATTATATCTACCAACCGTCCTTATTTTATCTAAAACATATCACAGATTAAATTTGTTTTCTAAAAAAAATCTATCACAGAAGTTGATTATACTGGTAAAATCCCAAATCCTCATGAAAATAAAAATGTACTTTTTCCATTCGTAACAAAATAAATTTTCAGGTTTTCTCTTAAATATTATTCTTTTTAAAAGCTGTTAAACCCATACAATGTTAAACAAATTATTGACAATCCTGAGAGCTAAACGTATAGTTTGTCTAATGTGAATAAAATATAACATGTTTGATCACATGATCAACAAACCAAGTATCCAATGACTTCAAGAGTCTCAAATCAACATTGGATAAGATTTATCAAATGTAATACTCTAGAAAAAATAAGAAGAAGAAGGATTCAATCCAATGAAAATCATAAAAATATTCTATCGAAGTGTCAAAACATATACATATAGTATATAGATATAGAAAGTAAAGCGGGGTCCGCACTCAATGCCATTATGATGACATCATCACATCAAGACACAAGCAAACTTGAGTACTCACTACGTCTCATCATCTCTTCGTCTTGCCTTGCCTCTATATAAACCCTTCTTCTCCCTTCTCTTCTTCTTACTGTTCTCTAACCTAATCTCATCTCAGCTTTCCAACACAAAACTAAAATCTTTATCAAAGTTTCTTATTACACAACCTAAAAGAGCCCTCTTGTCTTTCTTGAAAATGTCGGAAGAATTCTACGAATCTGACATCATTTTCTCCGACAGTTTCTTCCCGACTCGCCGGCGTGACGTCATGAACGAGAAAGAAAACCGTCCGGTTGGTATCCAAGAAAACTCCAAAAATAAACCGAGGCGGAGTAAACCGACGCCGTTACCTTCGCCGGCGGCGTTCTCGACTTCGTTACCGGTGAATATACCGGGGAATGTGAACCGAAGGTACACGGATGATGAGGAATATTCCGATGACGGAGGAAGGAAGATGGTTCCGCCGCATCTGATGGTCGGAAGGAGGATGGAAGGTTGTCAAATGGCGTTTTCCGTTTGTACTGGTAACGGAAGGACTCTCAAAGGACGGGATCTTAGCCGGGTTCGTAATTCGGTTCTCAGGTTAACCGGTTTCTTGGAGGCTTAAATTCGTTAACCGGATTTTTTTAATCAAAATTTTCGTCTCTTTTTAGCGGAAGAAATCAACGGTCTTGTATTGTTGTTAGTTTAACCACTTTGTTGAAAGTGAAAAGGAAAATGTCTAAAAAAGACATTTCTTTCCTGTTTATTAATTTAATTTCTTAATTTGTGTGTTTTCAAATGTAATAGGAAACGCAAAAAAAAATGTTTATCAGTTTTCAAAATCAGTTTCAGGTTAAATTCAGTGTTTTTTTTTGACAAAAATTCAGTGTTCATCAGCCATATTTACGCTGATGAAATTGGATTATTTGTGTAATAAATAAAATTTATAAATGTATTATATCGGCAGAAGTTTGGAATATAATTTCTCTGTATACCAAAGATCGATGTTTAACTATTCTTGTATATAAAAATGATCTTCTAACTTTGTTAATGCATTTTGTTTAAAAACTAAATATAAATAAATCTTGAAAATGTGAGTGATAAACCAATGAAGTTGAGGACAAACGACGAACAGAACCAGCTGTTCAGTTCTAATTGATTGAGAGAGAGATCGATGTCACATATCTTACTGGTGGTGACATCAACGCCAAAATGCACTACTTTATCGTATTTTAACAGCCAATGTTATGCATTATTTACTTTTAACAGCCAAATGTGTTTAAAAAAACAGCCAAATGTATACTTTGACAAAGGGCTTAACAGCCAAATGTTATGCATTTATAACAATAAACATTTTTGAAATGAGTTGAAGGTGTTTTTAGTGAGCGTTTTATACAAACATATTTATATTGTTATAAATAAGACCTACAATTTTGACTGATATTTTAGCGCTTATATTTTATAAATTTTGAGGGGTTTTACTTTTATTGTTGTTACTGTCTTAAGAAGAGAACCAAGAAGGGAAGCTTGACGCAATATATGATTGTCACCGATTTTCTCTAGTCACACTTTTAGCAATGAGATGAACTCCTAAATTAGAGGATCTAGGAGCATATATTGCATCAAGAATGGCCAAGCAGGAGGCCTAATAGAGCATAAGGGGTCTTTCTTATATATAATACTACAAATTTGTATTTTGTCAACTAATAAATTTGGTTCTTATTTTTTTTGTCAACATATTTAGTTCTTATTTAGACAACAACTATGAAATCTTTTAAGGTTTTTGAAAAAAAATACTTTTGAACTCGATTTCCACAAAATGAACAAATGTAACGTTTTCTTAAGCAGAAGATCAGTAATGTGAAGTTAGTGACGCTAATAGCATTTGGCTAAACATTATTACAAACGTGTCTAAGAAAAAAAACTTTAAGTTTATTTGTTTTTTGGGTGCAAATGTTACATTAAGTTCATTTGTAACAGTAAAAAAATGGAAAGTGGAATTAACTAAAGACTGTATGTAGAATAGCCACAGAAAGTATCAAATAATTAAAACATTCACCTTCTAATAAATAATAATAAATACTACAATATATAACTTCGTAGTTGGATTTACTAATGGATTATAAAGTTACTGATATTTTTCAATAAACTAAATTGTGTACTAAAAGGATTCAAAACGACGATTAAGCTGCATAACCTACATTTCTCCAATGTTATCTTTGAGACATCGTCGGATTGCCTACGCGATTTTCTCACAAAGCCGGAAAAACATCCTAGTTTCAGCCATCTCCGACACGATATATCCTTTCTTCTTGTAAGGATAGAGTTTTGGAGCCTCGATCACGCACTTCCGGAAAGAAATGAAGCTGCATCGGCAATTGTTATTAGTGTCACCTGAGATAGTCGACCCCAATTATACATCGCCCGAGATGCACCGGCTTGGCTTCAGCATTTACTCACCTTGGAAGCTCGACAATAATGAAAGTTGGTGAGATTTTCTTCCTTACTCAATGTTTGTGCGGTGTCTATTGACATCTTATTTAATTTCTTGTTTTCTGCTTTGTATCACAACGATTAGTTCTACGTGTTCAAGTGTTATAAAAAAAAACGACGATTAAGCTTTGTCATTTCGTTATTCGATTAACATAAACTGGACAATGCTCAGAAGGCCAGAATTCTAGGAGTTCAATTGATTCACGCTATGTTATTTAATAATCAGTTACTCCTATAATTTATGCTGGGTAATATATTGCATTATAATGAAATACAATAATGTGAAACAATACGTGGGCCACAAGAAACGGAGACTGATTTGTCTGGACACGCAGACACATAGCTTCCTTTTCCAGTAAAACACTTCAAAAGGTATAATTCCATGTTTCCATTTATATTAATATTATTCTTTATTTTATTTTATTTTTATTTCACCATTTATTATTGGCCTCTACCATAGTTTGTTTGAAATCGAATCAGTCTTGTTATCGTATTTTTAAAGTAGTATTTCAATCGAGTGTCGATATCTTGGTTCATTCACACAGAATTTTTTGAGGAAAATGATATGATATAGAGGATGATTGGTTGGGTTGTAAGTAATGATTTTAGCTTTAATTTTTATCTACAACCATTTAAATCACCAATCATGCTTTAAGTAGCTTTTAAAGCTAAAGTCAAAAAAATGGAAAAGTGGTTGTAGGAACCATATTTTCTAAAGCAAAAAATTATTGCTGTAGGATTGTTGTAGAAATATCTTTCTTTTTATATTTTTTTTTTCATTTAATTTCTATAGCTACATTAGATACAACTACATCAAAAACATCTACAGTCTAAATTCTACAGTAAAATTTTTAAATCTACAGTTCAATCAATCACCCTCCTAGTAATTTAATGGAATACTAGATTTTGAACCCGCACATCCGTGCGGGTATTTTTTCATTTAAAAAATATAACAAAACCTTTCAAATATATATAATTTACATTCTATTGTTATATATTGTATAATTGTATAATCTTATAATTTCAACTATTTTATATAATATATTGTTGTAAGTTTTAAAATAAAATAAAAATTCATATATAATGTATTTGTTGTGAGTTACAAAAATATATGTTAACATTTTTTGTATAAAAATATTATAGAATTTAAAAACTTTAGTACGTTTTAAAAGTGAATGATATTTATTTATTTGAATAAAAGAAAATTTTTAAATAAAATATTTTTCTTTATGAATTTAATATATTTAATATTCATTTTACATAGCATTTTCTTTTAATATAATATATAATACAACTAAATTATAAAATATAACAATTTTCATTTTAATTAACATTCAGATAGATATTTATATATATTAATCACAAAATTAAATAATGCATATTTTATAAAGAAAATATTTAAAATTCTTAGTAAGATCTTGTTAGATATTTTCTCAACAAATTTATTACTAATATCTTATTAATTATTAAAATATTTCTCCAATTATATATATTTAATGATTAATATAAATAATTAAATATGTCATATTAATGAAATGGTCCAACATGACTTTTAGTAGTAGATATAAATGGTACTTCTCTTTTAATAGAGAAGATTGAAAATGTAAGAGAAATGTTTCACTTTGACTCGAACGTTTGGGCCTGGATGGACCTGCAAGCATCCAGTCGTATGTGCGAATATACTTTTCGGAAATGAAAATTGATTAACCAAATTATTTTCAGCAATTATTATATACTAACTGTCCTTAATTTATCTAAAGTATAACACAAATAAAATTCTGTTTTCTAAAAAATATCTATCAGAGAAGTTAATTATATTGGTAAAATCCCAAATCGATTAAGAGACATCTTTCAAAAGTCTTGAACCTACCCTCATGAAAATATTAAAAAAGTACTCTTTCCATTCATAACAAATAGGTTTAAGTTAATTAAAAAAAAGGTTTAAGTTTTTCTCTCTTAACAATTTTTTTTAACTGCTAACCCCAATACAATGTAAAAAAAAACAATATTGAAATCCTGGGAGCTAAACGTATAGTTTGTCTAATGAGAATAAAATAAAACATATTTATTCGATCACATGATCAACAAACCAAGTATCCAATGACCCCAAGAATCTCAAATGAACATTGGATAAGATTTTATTAAATGTAATACTCTAGAAAACATAAGAAGAAGAAGAAGGATTCAATCCAATGAAAATTAAACGAAATAACAAATAATTTATAGCGAAGTGTCAAAAACATATACATATAGTATATATAGATATAGAAAACTTGAGTACTCACTACGTCTCCTCTTCTTTCCTTTATATAAACCCTTCTTCTCCCTTTTCTTCTTATTACTACTGTTCTCTAACCTAATCTCATCTCAGCTTTCCAAACAAAACTAAAATCTTTATCAAAGTCTCTTATTACACAACCTAAAAGAGCCCTCTTGTCTTTCTTGAAAATGTCGGAAGAATTATACGAATCTGACATCATTTTCTCCGACAGTTTCTTCCCGACTCGCCGGCGTGACGTCATGAACGAGAAAGAAAACCGTCCTGTTGGTATCCGAGAAAACTCCAAAAATAAACCGAGGCGGAGTAAACCGACGCCGTTACCTTCGCCGGCGGCGTTCTCGACTTCTCTACCGGTCAATATACCGGGGAATGTGAACAGAAGGTACACGGACGATGAGGAATATTCCGACGAAGGAGGAAGGAACATGATTCCGCCGCATCTGATCGTCGGAAGGAGGATGGAAGGTTGTCAAATGGCGTTTTCCGTTTGTACTGGTAACGGTAGGACTCTCAAAGGACGGGATCTGAGCCGGGTTCGTAATTCGGTTCTCAGGTTAACCGGTTTCTTGGAGGCTTAAATTCGTTAACCGGATTTTTTTAATCAAAATTTTCGTCTATTGTTAGTTGAACGACTTTATTGAAAGGAAAATGTCAAAAAGAATGAACATTTGCTTCCTTGTTTATTTATTAAATTCTTAATTTGATTGTTCTCAAATGTAATACTAGAAAAAAAAAAAGAACAGAGAAAACGTTTCCGGGATTGTTTTTGGGATCAGTTTCAGGTTACTTATGATTAGGATGATTTAACTTGTTCTTTGCAAAGTTTGTAATCCAGTGTTCGTCAACTATCATGTTACTGATGAATCGGATGTCTTTTATAATAAATAAAATTCATAAATGTATTATGAAGATCTCTTTAGAAATATATATGTATATATATATATGTATATTTTTTTATTACAATGAAGATTGGGACAAAAGACGAACAAAACCAGCTGTTCGGCGCTAATTGATTGAGAGAGAGATGTCACATTTCTTGGCGGTGACATCAACGCGAAAAATGCATTATTTTATCGTGTTATAGCTGCCAAATGCATTATTTTGTTTCTAAACGTAAATGCGTTTTTTTTGTTTTAGTTTTTATTTAACAGATTCCAATAACATCAAAACGTTTTTGTGAAAGAAAATAACAAGACAAACTAAGTACTCACTTACACGTGTTTGTAAACAAAATGTGATAGTCAAAGTTTTTATTAGTATAAGATAGATCAAAGTTTTTATTAACAGAAACAAAATGACGTGGTCAAGTAAATGACCTAGTTCTATGATTCTATCTACTTATTTCAGACTAATTCTCTTACATTTTTAGATAAAATTGGTACGGAGATGCGCTAGTAAAATAAAGACTTGACAGTACGAAAAGTAAAAAAAGAGAATAATCCCGAATATTCTTTTTCTTAGCCCAAATAGAAAATGTGATGGAAATAAATTATTCAAACCATATTGTTTATTAAAAGCATATGGAGATTAGTGATGAAGATCTTGGCATAATCAAAAATTTCAGTAGCCATCTCTTTGGAATTTGAGGGTCTCGTGGATGTACCTAGGTTGACATGATTATAAGCGGACGGCACATGCATCTAGCCATGTTCTTATCCACTAACTCTCCTTTTTACTGACTACATTCTTTAATGTACAACACATTATTATATTCTAACTTTTAAGCTTGTTTTTCACATTTGGGTTGCGATTTATATAAACATGTTTTATACTTTAACCGACTATAAAATTCAAATCTAACATCCGCGTGTGTAGATTAGGCAACTTTTTCTGACGGTCAATTTTTTTTTCTACCACCCGTGCTTGTTTAGTACTACTAGTTTCTATAAACCCGATAAGTAAATAATAGGCCACACTCTAATCTAATTGCATATACAATTCCTCTTGTCTGTCAATAATCAAAGAAGAAAAGACCAAGAAGGTTCTTTAACTCCCAAGATGTATATGCATTTTGTATACAATATACTCTAATTTATTTGATTTTAATGGAGTGGTATATGTAAAGTTATCGTCATGAACTATCAAGATAATAGTTTTAAACGACGGGGTCTTTTTTTTTTTTAACAACTATTTATTTAAATAAAATGTAGAGTTACAAAATGAATATAAAAATCACAACCTTGAAGATATTTTGCTTGCCTTTTGATTAAAATGGTGTATTTATTTGACATCTAATTAGATATCGACTCATTCATCGTAGTACTTCGTTTTTCATAAGCCCACTTTCAGATATAACCAAACAACTTTAAACATAACTAGAATCGAATTATTGACTTTTGATCATTAAATATGTTTTACACAAAAGCTAGCAAAGACTTAAGCGGCTAAACCGATCATTTTTTATACTTTGTATTGTCGATTTAATAACATTATGGACTTTGGATCATTAAAATATGTTTACATGTAAAATCATCTTGTCACTTTTATAAAATGATTAAAAAAACACTTGTAAAAGGATAAACAGACAGAAAAATAAGTGAGATGACGTGGAAGTACAACTGGACCACGTCTGTGAGAATAAGCAGAAACTTCAAGTGGGATGATCAAAAGTGTCGTAATCTGATTGAACTTACACATATGATATGTTTCACTGCATTCACGTGCATACCTTTCTATCCACAATTCTTCCCCCTTACGTGTGCAAACAAACAATCTCAAATCATTGATACAGCAAGCAACTTAGCTTTGTCTTTTTCTCAATAACTCTCTTGCAAGGTTTATATTGTTTAGTGGCCCAAGTTTACATTTATTGCAGACCATTGCTTTTGGGTCTCTACAACTTTCAGTTGTGAAAATGATTTTTAGCAATTTCTCAAAATATCAATCTAAAAGAAGTAGTTTCCAAGAGATGACGAGTTGAAAGTTGTTTATGAATCAATTTGTTGGGTAAAGAATCTATGAACATAAATGTTCTGCACAGTGAAAAGCTATTGAGATACAATACAATCACCAAAACAACAACAATGTAATGCCACCAAGAAGTTGTTTCCGCAGCCAAAGCCTTTGCTTCTGCTAAAATCTCTCAACATTGTGGTCTAATGAGATGGTTAACTTACAAAACTGAGCTCACAATCGCCTTGAATTTGTTGCGCTGCTTGATGTATAGCCAAACTTGCTGAAGTCCAGTTTAGTAGATAACCTTTTTTTGACAAAATAAACAGAAAACAAACAAATCTCTAGTGAGATTGGTGCATCAATGACAATAAACTATTGAAGATAGTAAACTTGTGAGAGGTGAAAAATGTTCACCCTTTGGACGGACAAGTGTTGCGGATATCTTTGAGAGGTGCACGCAGACCGCTAGCACGAGAGCCAGAACCAGAATATCTAAAAGATGATATAGCAGAGACAAATCTTTCCACTGATTTCTCTGCTATTTCTGAGTACTGCCCTATATGTGAAATGTTGGATCCAAACTTTTCGACATCGTTGTTGGTTTCAAATGATGTTTCTTCATTACCAGGATCAGTCTCGTCTATGCGCATGTGCTTGGAGTTCAAATTTTCCTGAAATAGTAAAGAAACAGTTGACAAAGGGCTTGAATAATGATGATAACCTAAGAGACAAAGCAATTAACATGGCGTGATTGAACCACACTATCTAACCTTATGAAGGTTTTCTTCTGGCTCAAACTTCCTTTTCCCTGTTGCAGCTCCACAAAAACTATAAGTACCAATGGAGTTGAGAGGTATAACATCCTCGGGAGTACTAAGAGTGGAAAGGATCTCAACGGATGGGCTCTGTTCTTCTTTATCGATCTGATGGTTTATCTCATGGATGCTTGTTCTTCTCTCAGCCACCTCGATATTGGCAGAGATATTCGCTTCTTTGGCAACTTCAGGATCGTTGTAGATTCGCTCCTGATGGAAACATGAATCTGTTGCTATAGCTCTGTCACTCTCTTCTATCTTAGACGAGCTTGACTTGTTTATCACAGTATTAACAGTCTTTCTCTGACCGATCACAGTGCAATCATTGAGACATGGGAGAGATTGTTTAAGACTTTTGTCCTGCTTCTGCTTGAAATACTTGCTTCTTACTACAACATTCACACTATCCGTCTTCGTCTTTTTCTGCCTCTCCACTTGCTGTTCAACGAACTTATGATTCCTTTCTACTCCATCTAAAAGATTAGGACACATAAAATATGAGTCAGGATTGAAGGTTTAAAGTAGAGTTTGTTTTTTGGGAATAAAAGCAACTGTACCATAGTCAGGTGACTCTCTTTTCTCTGCAACTTTGCTAGTATTCTCATCCTACAGACACTAATAGATTAGAGCTTGTTTTCGAGAACCAAAATGTGGTTATTCTAGTTTCTTACCAAGCTGTAAACCGGGGATTCATTTGTTGTCTGACTCGAAGGAGCATCCACATCTGTTGAATTATCCTCAGGAGTGCTTGGAGACTCCTCTGTTGAGGTAAGAGACATTGGTGATATCCTCGGAGCCTTGAATTTTCTCTTTGCCTCAAGTGTTGCAAAGCCTTTTAGATGTTAAGTGAAGAACAAATAGTCCAGACCAAACATCGCCAGTATCAACAGCTAATTAGACTCTTTAATATACACAGGACATACTTATTGAAGAAAGATCTTACTCAACACCAGTGATACCAAGTTCCAAATGTAATTAACTGTTTAAAATGATTGATAAGGGATGTTAACGCTGAAGGATACAGAAATACTTAGTGAGAAGGTTTTTCTGGACTGGCAACTCAAGCTTTTTCTTCAGATTTTCCGGTTTGAAACTTCTGGGGCGGGAAATAGCATCAACAGCCAACTTAGGAGTGACACCCTCGGCCTATTCATTTAAGAAAACAAGACAGCAAACTAAGAAACCACCGCAGGTAAGGAAAGACAGGGAGAATTTGAAGCATAGAGAGGTCAGCATATTGTACCTGGAAAGGTAGCTGCGTGAATGGATCAACCTGGCCCAGTGCTATACCCTTAGCAATATGTTGTGGCATCGATGTGCACGAAGTTAAGGTGTAAACTAATATGTATTCATTAAACAGTCTTGATAAACTGAGTCCTAAAACCAAAAGACTTGTCTCAAAGGATATGGGCCTACAAAGTCTGAATCTTCGCCAATGTCTTCAGAAATGGCAGACATGTGTACAACATCTTCAGATTTGGGGTCATAGACCCGTTGATGCTTGAAAGTCAGAATAGCTTTCTTAAATGACTCTTCATACAGAGGAGGAACTGAAACTGTGCTGTACTTTAAGTGCTTGATTACCTATAAGCAAACAAACCACACATCATTCAAGAAAATTATTATAATCAACTAGCTCATGTCTACAGGACTGTAACCCGAAAATCTAATCAAGTATTGTAAGGATATCCAGTCTCTGAATTAATCATACTTTTGCTTTACCAAATCCTTGTCGTGCGATAAAAATCAAGTGAGAAAGGAATTTGTACCCTGTCATAAGTTTTGAACTTTGTAATGAGTGTGTGAGCTCTTTTGAGTCCCATTCCTGGAAGTGACTGCAAATAATCACAGCCACTCAAAATGCACATCTCGAGAAGCATCTGGCTTGAAAGTCCAGAAAGGCTGAGCTCTTTATTTTTGGGCAGGTTGGAGGCTTGAAACTCAACACCATGACCAAACTTGTCCATTTTAAAGATGATCTGCGACATAAAAATTGACAGTCGAAGGCATCAATTGTAATACACCGGGATGGATAAGGAGTTGATATCATCTATACCAATAAGGAGAAGAGGAACTACTGCAACAGAAAACTTACTCTTGGGCAGCCAAAAGGAATAAGATCAGAATCCTCAGTGATAATCGCATCCACTTGCTTAGTAATAGCCAAGAATGTCATTTGGGCATCAGCTTCATAAGGTGCAACAACGTAATCAACATTCTCCTGCCTCAGAACCTTCCATGGCAAAATAACTTCAGTTCAAAGCGATTGACAACAAAGAAAAATACAAACACTGTTTACTTGGAGAAACTATACAGCATAGTGTTACCTGTATCAACTCATGTGCAATAGAAGGTGAGATGTCAACAGCCTTTTGGTAACACTCATAAGCAGCCGGGGAATTTCCATTTGCTTCATGCTCCAATGCCCGTGCAAGATTTTCCTTCCTGGACCTGAACTTGATTATGTGAAACTTGTTAAACCTTGACCAAGAAACAAACATACTGTTCTTAAACTAGTTATTCTAATGTATTGGATTACCTAGCACGCTTATTCTCTTGTTCAAGTTTCATAGGAAGAGGACCTCCATCAAAGACAAGAACAGGCTTAACTCCATGATGCCGGAGTAAATTCACTCTATGCATACAGTATTGTATATGCCTGAAAATATCAAACACCAACACATTGTTATTATTCTGCAAAACCAGAACAAGAAACAGCACTACCAAGACTAACATATCTTAAAAACATCACACTATTCTCAACTATAATTCCCTTACAGTAACTATTAAAAAAATATGAATTAGTGTGCGTCCATCACTAGTTAATTCTAAACAAAATGCTTCTTAGCTAATAAACAAAGCGCCACATACTAAACCCTAGAAGCCTCTTCTAGTGAAATATCAAGAACATCAACGAGAACCCAACAAATATTCACGAGATAATATTAAAAAGCTTGAATTTTTACAACCAAGTAGAACTATACATTTCGAGATAGAAGAAACCCAAATTCTAAATTTGGGGGAAAATGGGAAAAAAAAATCAATCGATCTGAATCTGGATTCAATAAGGAAATTGAGAGAGAGGGAGAGGGAACCTGGTGGTGGGTAAGCCCTTGCAGAGGTCTCGGCTACAAGAGAGAGCGCCTTTGTGAAGCCATGAGTAGGTATCAACGGCGACGGTACAACCCTCGAGGTCGTGGATATGTATCGGAGCCATTATCGATTTCAGCAATGGCAACAGCCCTTGAATACCCATTTCCCCCCTTCTTCTTATTCCTCCGATTCGATGTATCAAACCCTAATTTCGCTGCGACGATGACATTTCAGGTCTCTCTCGGGACTGTTATTACAGACGATTGAAGGAGGGATTTTTCGCAAATCTAGCGGGAAATTTTCTAATTGGGTATTTTACTCGTTTTCTACAAAAATTATCTGGGCCCACGAAGCCCATCTCTACGGTAGATAATCTTAACTATTTTTATACGGGAAAATTGACAAAATAACCCTCAACTTTCAAAAATAAGTTAAAATATTCTCCAACTCACAAACACGTCATTTTAACCTTTAACTTCTAGTCAAACACGAATAAATTTCATATTTTCGTTGACAAAGCCATTTTAATCTCGTCAAAATTTAACTATTTAGTTCCCTTGATTATATTTAACGTTTGACTTTTAATGAGCCTAAAATGGCTTGGTCAACAAAAATATGAGATTTTTTAATTTTAATTTAAAAGTTTAAGATTAGAATTGTTCACTTAAAAATATCTTAACTAAAAATTGCTATTTTTATTTTATTTTTTTCAACAAAAATTGTAGTTTATCATATCGATTAGAATTACAAACTTAATAAAATATGTTCCAATAAGTTTAGTTATAATATTTTCAAATGAATTAAAACAAAAAAAAATTAGTAAAAAACTTGATTAAAAATACAATTATACTGTAAAATCAGATATAAAATAAAATAATTAAATGTTTATGTTAAAAAAATTAAATATAAAAACATAAAAGTTAAAGGTAAAACCCTAAACACATTGTTGTTAAAAGTATAATCACATATACTCAATAGAGGATGAAACAAGTGAAGATGAGGAAGTCAAGTGCGTAAAAGGGATTTCCGGCAACTGATGTATAAATTTTTTTTTGTTTTTAATTCATTTTTAAATATTATATCTAAACTTATATGAACATATTTTATTAAGTTAGTGATTACAATCGATATGAAAAATTATATTTTTTTCTTTCAGAAAAAGAAATTTTAGTTAAGATACTTTTAAGTAAGCAATTTTAATCTTTAACTTTTAAATTAGGATAAAAAAAATCTCATACTTTCGTTGACCAAGCCATTTTAGACTCATTAACAGAACTAAACGGTTGATTTTTTATAAGATTAAAATGGCTTGGTCAACGAAAGTATGAGATTTATTCGTATTTGACTAGATATTGAAGGTTAAAATGGCTTATTTGTGAGTTGGAGATTTTTTGATTTATTTTCAAAAATTGAGGGTTATTTTGTCAATTTTCCCATTTTTTATAATAATGTTAATATACAAGTTTGGTACGTTGATGTAAAAAAGGGGCGCAAGTTGTATTAAACTGATTCAGAATGTATTTTCTCCAACTGGGTTCATACAAATGAACTTGCAATTTGCTATATTTACCATTTCAGGAACTATATATAGGGTCTAGCTATGATTTTGCACATAACCTAACTAACAACTAGTAGTCAAGGTTTAAAGGTTTTCTTGCATGTAATTTATCATCATTTGTAATAGAGATTATATAATGTACGAATGTTAGAAAAAAAAAAACTAACAACAAGAAAACGACCCCATACTGAATTACGAAAAGCTTGACCTAAATGTTTCCAACACATATCTGTTAGTTACTTGCCCCCCAAACAATCTGAGAGTTCTCATGGTCTACTGTAATCTAATGAAATAAAAATGTACTGATTACAAATTCTTGGTCTTTAGCAGCTAAGTTGCTGAATGAGTAATCTGTAATCCAAAGCATCTTGGTAGAAATACTAAGGCTCTATCTTCAAAATGTCTTCAATAGATTTTCTATATTCCACAATCAACTCCCTGACCACAGGTTTAAGAAGAAAAGTTTAAGTCAAAGAAATAAATCTGGTCAGCTAAAATATGTTATTGAATGTTGGTAACAATTTTGCTTTACCTTCTCTGTTGAAGCAACTTCTCAGTGTCCTCTAGTTTTCGCTTTTGCCCATCAACATACTAAAAAGCACACGAAGATTCGTAAGGAAAAAAACCACACAAACTTTGTTCTGATCCAAATGTGAGAGATCTATTGATATTACCATAGTTTTAGATCCGAGGGATCCTGAAACCGAGTTCAGCATCTGTTGGCTCTTGTTGAAATAGCTACTAAGTTCAGTCACCTGCAACAACAATTCAACGTCTAAGAACCCTAAAAACTAACTTTGAATACATGATTTTTGTTAAAAGAGAGAGACAAACCAGGGCACTGGAGTTCTGATCTCGAGTCCCAGTTTCAACTGCATTAGCCAATTTCTCCACCAACTGGGAATACCTGACGTTACTTATAGCCCAAGGAATCCCATTTCAGAGAAGAAACTGATTCATCAGTAATATTTCTTACCGGATAGAGATGGAAATGAGAAGCTAACGGCTGCTGTTGAACAGGTTCTTGTTTTTGTGGGAGTTTCATCTCTTGCTGCTGTTGTTGTTGTGCCTGGAAGTGCTGCTTTTTCGTCCGTTGTCGATTATAAAACTGTAAAAAGGTCAAAGACATCGTTTAGATCGATGTATATTATATAGTAATATAAACATGAAGCTTAGATATGCACATTAACCCTAAAGAGATAAACAATACAAATACAATATGATGATTCACATATACCTGCTCAAGTTTGAAACGAACATCCCTCTCCTTCCTCTTAACATCTTTCTGTTGCTCCATGTTTCGTTGATCATTAGCCTCTGTTTCATCGTTGCTTTGTTTCTGCAGCTTCTCTTGATCATGCTCTTCCCACCTCTGCCTCTCAATCTGTTCATGCACATTTTCTTGAGCATCAAGGCTAAGATTCTCTGATATGTCCTACAATATTTGTTTAAAGAAAAATATATCAACAAGTCAAGAACTCAGGATCGTAAAACAGTATAAGAATTAAAATCAATTACTTTATCTACCACACTCTTCTCTACATCTTCGAATCTTTCTCTTGAATCCATAACAGTTTTTGCCTGAGAATGAACATCCATATAATTCTGACTCTGTTTCTTTTTTGTATCTAATATATAAAGATCAACATTTAGTTTAGTTACCCTCTTCTCTGGCCTGGTCTCAGTATAGTTCTGCCTCTCATCTTCCTCTCCTTTCTTCTGAGAGATTTGCATCGGCTCTGTTTTATCGTAATAACCCACCGCAACGTTCTTGTTCATAATCTTTACCATCGAATCCGGAACTTGCCCCTGAGAAATCACAGTCAAGAACGTCATCAGGACAAGTATGGATCACTGAGAGTAAGTTACTGTTGAGTTTCTTGTTTACATTGGTTTCTTCAATGGATCTCGACTTTGTTTCATCGCTTCTTCTTGTTATATGAACTTCTTGCATATTCTCTAGAGTGTCTGTCATTATTGTTAAAATAGTAAGTACCCGTCTCAATTTCTTCTTTATTTCAATGCCAGCAATCTTCTCTGTTTCACTGGAAATCAAACCAAAGGATGGTTTCACTTTATCCATAATTTCAAAACGTTTGTATGTAAAAATAATTTTAGATATTTTATGGTTCCTTTTTCAACAGATTTTATGTTTTGGTTTGTATTTTAAGTCTTGTTCTATACTGAACTCCGCCATGATTATGACGAATTCAGACTAATCAGTTGTAAATTTGTGTTCAGTTGGCTTTCATTTTTGTTTTGATTTTAGGCCCACCGTTGCAAAATTCTTGATAGCTTTTTTTAAGTGGACAAATAGGCGAATACTGAGTCGAGAATGCACTATTTATAAAGGATGTTTCATGTCACCCATTCTTCCTCTATCCGATGTGGGACTCTTTTCATTCTATTTGTATGTTGTCACGTGTCACGGTTCTACTTGTGCATCAAGGTGTAATCCGCATTGGGCTATTCTGTCTTTTTAAGCCCATGGTTTGTTTTTGTATAGTTTGGTTATACAACACTATAACTATGAGTTCCAAAACAATGTTTAAAACAAATACATAATTGTCTTAGCCTCATGAATCTAATTCACCCCTAGGAATGCAAACTCAATGAATTTGATTTTTCGAAGAAGAAGACCCATCAGTTCAGTAATACTTATATGCTTATTTATTTTGTGATTGAAGTTGAAAAAAGACTAGATTATCTTTCGGAACTGTATTTGGCTTTGGCTATTAATTATGCTCAAATGTAATCTTTTTGATAAATCGAACTAACACAACAAAAGACTAAACAGTTACAAGAATGAAACTCTACGAAAAGCTTGACCTAAATCATCCCAAACACATAGCGTTTTTCTTGCGTCCCAAACAATCTGATAGTAAAACACTCTGTTTCCTCCTAAAACCCATCTCCCTCTTTTCTATCAATCCCAATATCTGGTAACACCTCTCTGACCTGATCCACGTTATCGGTTAAAACTCTTGGTCTCATCTGAAAAAAAAAAAACACCATGTGAATATCTTACCTATACATTGCATAAAATTTTAAAAATGCGATTGGAAAAATATCTATCAGTTTGTCTACCCGCTCAAGACGCAAACGAGCCCGAGTCCTGTCAATAGCTATCAGTTGTCTACGTTCCTCCTCCGCTTTCTCTTGAGCCTCTCTGTTCTGCCCCTCCATATCTGCCTGCTCTTGTTGATTCTCTTGAGCAATAACGTTGGGATTCTCTGGAATCTAGTTTGAATGAAAAAAATAAACCAACTTAACTCTCAAGGACTCATGATCATAAGAAGAGAAGCATGTCTTTGTTTCTTTTACCTCCAATCTCTGTGCCGTTTGACTCCCTCCTTCACCGGATTGAACATCAATTCTCAAGTGTTCCACCTTCATCTTCTTCTGTTTCTGTTCATCCAGATCATAACCTTGCCTCTCCTGTGAATTTTAAGTAAAAAGAAATAGAGTAAAAAACATTTACTTTTACAATAACTCTCTCCTGGGATATTAATTTATTAAACAAACAAACATGTAACGATTTAGCTTAGTTACCCTCTTCCATGGCCTAGACCTTGACTTTGCTCCGTGTTTCTTCTCATGAAAGTTCTTACCCCAAGTTGTAGCCTGAGTGTACCAATATAAAAATTTAAAACGTTAAATGACATAGTAGAAGAAACCCTAAAAGTCTAATACATTTGGCTGATAAGAACCAAAACCTGACGCATAGGTTCTGCACCATCCTCTCCCGTTGAATGCGTAAATCTACATTCTGAGCCGTACTTACAACTTCCTTTCTGAAAAAACTGAAATGTAGAAGAAAAAAAGTTGCTTTCAACACAAGTAACTATGAGAGCACTACTAAAAACCAGGTAACATGAATCTATTGTACACTCTTGTCACCTATTAAATGAAAGTTACTAACATATTTAATCAAATTTGAGAGCTGTTACCTTACAATTCGGACGGCTAACACTCTGTGGAAGCACCTTTTTAAGATGTTTTTTTTTCACAGCAATAAAGTCATCATTAGGGAAACTGAAACTTATACTTAGACAGAAAGTAACATAATTTGCTTTCTTTCTTTCTCACCGGTGCAGATTGAGTAGGAGGAGGAGGAGAAGGATGATTGAATCGGCACTTAGGACCATAGCTACACTCCCCAGTTTGTAGATACTGTCTACAATCTCTTACATCTGGATACGGACTCTGTTGCGCCATTTCTTGTCTCCTCATCATTTGACTACTCTCAGGACGTTGTGAGGGAACTGGATACGGACTAGGTTGCACCATGTCATGTCTCATCTGATTTTTTGACGTATCAAAAACAATAATAAAAACCATAAGGAAATCTTGAAACTTAGAGACAGAGTAAGTAAGTACTCTTTTTCTCACCGGTGGATGATTGAATCTGCATTTTCGTCCAAAGCCACAACGACCGTGTTCCATGAAATAGTTGCAATTCTCTACACCGCTGCGAAATGAACGATACTCACTTTGATCTGGTTCGTGTCGCATCTGAGTTGCACTCTCCTGAGAAAACCGTTAACGACTCTGTTTTAGAAACAGAGATAAAGAACAGAGATTGTGAGTTCTTGTTCAGTTTCTTTCTTTTACCTTCTTCTCTCCAGAGGATCTTGGATCTCTTTCGTGTCTCCGATCAGCTTCGCTCCTCCCCAAATCCGTATCTTGTCCCTGTGAATCGAAATTAAAAAAACGAAGCCCTTAAACCAAAACATCAACCTTCCTCAAGAAGTACATAACTCTGTTTCCATGGTGACTTCTCAAGACCGAAACCAAGAAGCCAAATGAGTTTCATCGTAGTAAAGAACAGAGTAAATTCTCGATCAGATTATCTATGTTTTACCTCTGTTTCCTCCATTGACGTCGACTCTGGTCTCGTATCAGTTTCTCTAGCCTCTTCGTCTCCCTTCTCTAACTTCTCTCTGTCGCTCATTGCGTTTGTGTTTTTTCTCTCTTCTTTGCTCTGTTCTCTCTGGAGATCTCAAATCAAAGAATGGGTTTTGATTCTTTAAATCCAAATCTCTGAAGTTTGTTTCTTTTTATAATATTATTACCATAACGGTATTTTTTACCACTTCATTCGTTTTTTTTTTTTTAATTTGGCGGCGGGAAAATGTTTTATTGTTTTTTATGTATTCTTTAACAGCTATTCTGTTAAGGTCTAACTCTCTACATTGGTTGGAAATATTTAACACCTTAATTTATATTTTTTAGCAATCCATCTCATCTTCTGTTTTCTATATCGATTAATTCAGCACCCATAAGAACTTTACACTTATAATGATATTGTTTAAAAAGATTCAACACCTTACCCCCTGTCAATTTTTTGAATAATTATATAATAACAAAATAAGAATATTGTAACTTAATTAAAATAAACAAATTTTTAAAAATAAATAATACTTTATATTTTTTTCCAATAATAAATATGGGTGAATATCAAAATAATTACTATTGATTTTTTTTTGAAAAAGGGAATAATTACTATTGAAATTTGTTTTATAGAATATATATTTTTGATATCCAAATAAATGAAACAAATTCTATTTATAGAGTTTAAAAATGAAGTTAAAATTAAATATTAGATATAAAACTTGTTATATTATAAAATTGTTGATTAGATAATAGGGTGAAAATATCAAAAGTATCTGTAACAATAAAAACATTATATATATATATATATATATATATATATAATTTTAAGTCAAAATAATATTTTTTTACTATCATCCAATACACTTGTTTGTCTGGTCTCCACTTTTATGGATTCAACACAATTGAATGTTTTCAATTAAGATGAATCCACCTAAGCATGTATTGTTCTTCAATTTACCATGCAATACATTCAACAGTTGAAATATTTTGTTCAACTACCCATTGTAAGTAGTCTAAAGAAAAAATAATAAATATTCTTTCAAAACACACACACACTGACACACACATATATAGTAGGAAAATTGGCCTGAATATATGTTATTTCGTTTGTTACTATTCTATTTTGATAATATTTGATATTATGTATTATGTGTATATTTTGATATATGGATTAAAGTTTATAGTTTTTTAGAGTTTAGTTATTAATGTTTTGGATTTAGTTTATGAAAGGTTAAAATTGACGTTCGGATAAACATCTATATTATTAAAGTTGAAGTACATTTTAGAGTTGTTTGGGAACAATGATAACAATATAAATGAAAATGTTTGGAAACATGGATATTAGTATAATAAATAGTATATTGTTATTTTAGCAATTTTCCTTAAAATATACAATCAAATAATTTATATACAGTCAGCATTAATGATTCTTCAAATGACAATATATCTTAACAAAATCCTTTAAAATAAAATATTAATTAATTTTACATGTAACTAACTATACATATATAAATTAAGACAAATAATATGATATGAAATCATTGTAAAATTATTTTTAACATTCATAAATATTACTCCCTCTGTTTCATTATAAGTGTCACTCTACAGCTGTGCACACAGATTAAGGAAACAATTAATTTTACATATTTCCTATATAAAAACACAGTTACCCGTACACCTAACCATATTTTAACCAATAGAAAAACAAATTACATAATAAAATTAATAAATATTGCATTGAAAACCGAAAACGACACTTATTTTATAACGCAAAAAAATCTCTACAACGACACTTAATATGAAACGGAGGGAGTAAAACATATAAATTTCTCTCTCCAAAATAAGTAGTCCATTTATAATATATATAACTACTATTTTAAAACTGTAAATATAAATTTACAAGAATAGTATAAAATTTACATAAAAATAAATAAAACTTTAAATACTTAATTAAATTACTGATATTTTATACATTCAATATAAAACAATCATTAATACTGATAAAATAATATATAATAAGGAACAAAATAAGCTTCAATATAAATAATAATCTAACACTAATACATCAATATTTATGTTTTTAAAAAGTTAAACAAATACCCGCACACCCGTGCGGGTCAAAATCTAGTTACCTCTTACACTACAATCATAAACATTTCAAAATTTGAACAATATATACTATGTTATTTTGTTTGTTAACATTTAAGAGATTCTATTCTATATACCATTTATCACAGTTGTCATTTATAATCATTGTTATTTTGTAGACAATTCAAAGTCGAGAATTCAAAGTCATTTATTTACCGGTAATTTGTATAATAAAGATATATAATTGGGAGAAATGAGAACATATGCTATATAATCTAATTATGTCCAATCAAATGTTAAATTTTAAATTTAGTCTCAAAATTGGTTATCTTATCAATAATCCTATATATCAGCCACTTCTAAAAAAAAAAGAAATTGAGCATACGTGAATATTTTTTTAGTTTTTTTTTTGACAAAAGGACTTAGCATACGTGAATATTGAAGTGTAAGTTTCTTGATGATGAGAATATATTTAACTGAACTAGTTTCGGAAAAATGTGACTGCGACTGACTATACTATTTTTTTCAGAACTATATCTAACTACGATTTTGCACAAACGTAGAGTTTTGAAGTACTTTGCTGCTATTTATTTTGCTACCAGTTTCATACTAGTGTGATTGAAATTGACTAGATTACCTTTCAGAATAGCACTTAGCTATTATTTTAATCAAACGTAATCTTTTTAAAAGTGAATGATCAACCGAACTAAACAACAACACTAAACAGTAATGAAACTACGAAAAGATTGACCTAAATCCTCCCAACACTAAATCGTTTTCTTGTGTTACAAACAATCTGATAGTTCTCTTGGGTGTGTGTCTCTAGTAACTCTGTTTCCTCTTAAACCCCATCGGCCTCTTTTCTCTCAATTCCAATTCCTTGTAGAATCTTTCTGAACTGATCCACGTTATCTTTTAATGATCTACTACGTTCCTCCTGCGCTTTCTCTTCACCCTCTCTCTTCTTCCTCTCCATATCTGCCTGCTCTTGGAGATTCTCTTGACCATTAACGCTGTTATCCTCTGGTATCTAGTTTGAAGGAAAAGAACATGGTCAAGGTCTTTTTCAATTTTGTTGACCATTCTTGTAATCACAGTAAAGAAGAGTCTTGTTTCTTTACCTCCAATCTCTGTTCCGTTTGAATCCCTCCTTCAGCAGATTGAACAGTGGCCTTGATCTGTAGAAAACTCGGAACAGAAAAAAAAACACATGAGAATTTCATATTTTAAGAACATGTTGATGATTACAAATCCAAGACCTGATCAATTGTCAATTTTACCCTCAGTGTTCGTTCCTCCTCACTCTCTCTCCTTTGTCCACAGTCATTGTCCCCTCTCTGCTCTACATTCTTTTGAGCTCGTCTCCTCCGCAACCAACTGTTTTGTCCCGGAAGAACCTATTTAAAGATATGTTTCAAAGCAGTAAAAGCCCATCATGAGTTACATTGCAACATATACTCAAGCCAAAAAAGAAGATAACTTTCTTTCTATCTCTCTCACCGGTGCAAAATGAGAAGGAGGATGATTGAATCGGCACTTACGTCCATAGCTACAGTGCCCAGTATTTAGATATCGTTCACAACCTCTTGCACCTGGATGAATATAGGGACTCCCTCGCACCATTTCATGCCTCACCTCAGTCACCTGATTTCTCTCAGTAAGACATTAAACCATTGAGAAAGTTCACTGAGAAATAAAATACACTCTTTCTTTTTTTTTTCTTACTCACCGGTGGATGATTGAACCAGCATTGACTTCCATGGATACACTGACCAGTGTCTAGATAACGTCTACAATTTCTTCCACTCGGTTGCATCGTATCATGTGTTCTCTGCGGTAAGTGTTTCAAAGATAATAAACCATAAGGAAACATTGCAACTTAGACACAGAGTAAGTAGTCTTTCTTTTGTGTTTTCTCACCGGTGGGTGATTGAATCTGCAACTTCGTCCAAAGAAACAACTACCGTTTTTCAGGTAATAGTAACAATCTGCTACACCTGCACGAAGTGGATGATACTCACTCGACTGATCCAATTCGTGTCGCGTCTGAGTTTCATTCTCCTGAGAAGAATCGTATCGACTCTGTTTTAGAAACAGAGATAAAGAAGAGAGTAGTGAGTTCTTGTTCAGTTTCTTTACCTTCTTCTCTACTGAGGATCTTGGATCTCTTTCGTGTCTCCAATCAGATTCGCTCGTCCCCAAATCCGTATCTTGTCCCTGAGAAAATTGAAATTAAAACTAAGCCCTTAAACCAAAACATCAACAGTCTCAAGAAGTACATAGTTCAACTCTGTTTCCATGGCGACTTTGACTTCAACTGTTAAGGATACATAATATTCCTCCATTCATTATTTCCATATCTCTCGTGTTCTGTTTAGGAATTTATGTATCTAGCTAACCCTAGCTCCCATCTCTTGTACAATATATATACACTTGTAATCTCTTTAGTAAATAATAAGAAAAGATCTTTCTCTACATCAACCATTGAATCTTTTCTCTAGATTACTATATTGTAAGGAGTAAAACCGAAACCAATAAGCCAAATAAGTAATCTCAGTAAAGAAGAGAGTAGGTTCTAGATCAGATTATTTGTGTGTTTACCTCTGTTTCTTCCATGGATGTCAATTCTGTTCTCGTATCAGTTTCTTTAGCCTCTTCGCTTTCCATCTCTAACTTCTCTCTGTCGCTCATTCTGTTTTGTGTTATCTCTTTCATCAGCGCTTCTTCTTTTCTCCGTTCTCTCTGGAAATCAAATTAAAGAGTGGAGTTTATTATTCTTTAAATACAAAACTCTAAAGTTCGTTGTTTGACAAGTTCGCTTCCATAACAGTATTTTTTAATACGTTCCAATATACCGACTTCTTTTGTTTTTTCTCTTTTTTTTTGTAGCGGGAAAATGTTTCTTGTTTTTGTAATGGATTGTGTTTCTTCTTCAACAGCTATTCTGTTACTGTTATAAGCTATAGAAAATTAATAACTGAGTTTTATATAATTCTTACAAATTACATGTATTGCGTAGCGTTTCATATTAGTTCTTAAAATTCCATTTTCTTCGTTCCTCCATTAAAATCTTGCCTTTTTAATCTAGTAGTTTTGTTCTTTTGTTATGGACTTAATAACTTGTAGAATACAATATAACGTAAGCGATTTCATTTCTTTATGAAAACAGAGAAAGTCATGTACATTTGGTTACAACTCATCTCACCAGTTTTGCTAGTTTGAAAGTTCAAACCCAAAAATGTGCATCTTTTTACAGTAAAGGAAAAAGTAAGAAGTAAGAAGCAACTAAAGATCATATATTCTCTCCATTGATTTACCTTTTGAATCCTCCTTTTCATTCCGTGAAGGTTGAGAGAAGTAAAACGTGAATCTCACACAGTATAACGAGGTTTAGCAGTGCGATCAAGAGTCTTTGCATCCTCCTGAAAACAAAACAAAAAAATGGACAAGTCACAATAGCACAAACCAATGTAAGTTTCAAGAGAACAATACACAGATGTTCGAAGAAACAGTTTACATGAAATATGAATCCGATTGTCTCATTGTAACCAAGAAGTTCCTTCCACTGCTTCCCAATGCTCAGCTGCAGCAAACAAAAACAAGAAAATATCTCATACTAACAAAACTTAGGATTAAACTTCCTCACACACGAAGCCACTGTATGTGTTTTGTATGAAGCAAACAAGGGTTAAAATCTCTTATCCTCTCTAATAATTTTTGGTTAAGCACTTTGGGGCCTCAGAGTATCCACTATGTTTCCTTACATTCAATCCTTTTATATAACTACATTAATCACATATATAATGAACAACAATGATATACCTGAGCCTCCTCATTTGCAGCGTTCTTTGTCCATATAGAGATCTTATCCCCTCTCGTTCTAAAATTCAGAACTACCCCGCAAATCTCATCTCCTTGCTCAAATTGCTCACCAACCAATGCAAGTAACTAAAAAAGACGCAAACAATCACAAAATGGATCTACAAGCACAGCACGGCCTAATCAAAAACTACAACGAACTCGTGCAAGTGACACAATACCGTGTTAAGCCAATTGGATTCGAGTGTAGCCTTAGGGAACATCATAGTCCACTTCCCTCCATTAGCACAAACAGGATCTTCCCACTTAGGTTCAATTCCATCTTTGAAGCAGTATAGATCCGCACCAGAAACCCACTTCGTTGGAGTATGCATGTTATTGTAAACACTGCATCAAGAATTTTAACACAAGCATCTCTTTAAAACCTACCTTCACATACAAGTAACCTAAAACAAACACAAAAAATCAAAAATCAATCTCTCTTCTTATATAGAAACCTACAGATACAATCCACGTGCAAAACTTAAGCAAATCCAAGAAGACTACTCTATCTCTATCCATCCCTAAGCTAATGCCGTTAATAGATGTGAATCTCACCTCCAGAACTCCTCGACGGTAGCGAAAGTGTACAAGGATCTCAAAGAGCTTCCCCACGTGGCTTGATTCGATTTCGAGGAAGGATTATCGAACCAGAAGGTCCAAGAGTTCTGGAACGAGTGCGGAGGTTTGATTACGGTGGTTGTTTTCGATCTCGATTCGTTTCCGCCGCGTATGAGCTTATCCTCCTTCGACGGATGTTTTTCGCCGCCGCCGATGATGATAGCCTTGATCGCCGCCGGAGCATGATTCTCCAAACGGATGAGGCTTGTGGTGTTAGGATCGAGATTCTCTTCTTCCGCCATGATCGCTGGTAGTGAAGAGCTCTCAACCGCCATAACCGCTCGAGTCAGTTACTACTTTTTCTTTCGCTCCGTCGAATTCTGTTGTAGACGGAAGAGGTTTGTTAGTTACATAAAGCCCATTAAAGGCCCATGAATAGCCTAATTAAAAATGCGCGGGGGATAATTATTTATTTATTTTTAAATATTATGTGATAAAGAGCGACAAAAACAAAGAAGAGGACCTTGGACTCTGGCGTAACGGCAACGAGTCTCTTTCTCAAACTCTTGTATCGATATCTGTGCTCTCTCTCACTTTAAAGAAGCTCACTTTACTTAAAATTTTCCAGTAAATCTCACTCTTTTTTAGGGTTTAAGAGCATTGGAACTCTCTCTGCAGGGTTACTACGGCCATGGATTCACTTCTCTCAAACTCCTACACATTCGTTGGAAATGGTAATGTGGTTTCTCATCTTTATTTGGTGAATTTTGCACTGTTACCGTTCCTTATTTGCTGATATGATTAGTGAAAATAAGATTAATTTTGTAAGAAACAAGTTTCTAGTTAAATGGGTTATTATAGCACATTACAGAAGCTTAGTGTGATAACCCAATTAGCTATAATAATCTCTGTAATTATGAGAGGAGTAATGTGGTATGGTCAGTGGTCAGATCTAATGTCGATATTACTATTAGGATTTAGGATAGAAAAGCTTTTTATCTTGGGGGAATTTTAAGGCCCCTGACCACGAGTTTCTCAGCTCTGAAAGTTCTTGAGTTTAGCAGAACATCTTTCGTAATTAGTTTTTGCTTTTGTTTTTTTACTCATTTTCAATTTGTGCTTTTTCTTTTGGCTACTGATGTTAGGTCATATCATACAAGAGAGATGGTGTGGAGAGCTGAATTCACCTGGTTAGAGTTTTGATTTTATGCCGCAAGGCTGGGGGAATTGGAATGAAGCCATTGGTCCGTGCTTTTTTAGGGATAGAGATGTATACAAAAAATTATTGATGTCTATCTTCTCTTCCGTTTGGAAAATTATCTGGATTCTTGTACTACCAACATTTTTTGTTTCCAGTTCAAGCTTTTCTTCCATTATATGTTTTTGAATCATACATATCAAATCCTATTAAGATCTGCCCTACAAAGAATTAACTTTTCATTCATAATACAATGGTGTAAATAGAGAGATCCTACAACATCATATATCAAGTTGGGAAAGCAATACAGATGATGTCTCGCCTAGTCAGGGAAGGATTGCGCTTGTGCTGTCTCTAGGTGCATCATGATCTTGTGAGACTTTTTGCGAATGAGCCTTACCTTGACGAAGACAAGAAGTCTTGAGACTAGATGGGAATGCTCCCTTTTTTCTTGATTCAGCCTTCTTCTTATCAGTGGCTGAACCGGAGAAACTCTCGAGTTCGTTAAGCCGTTTCATCTTCTCCTTCTTCTGTTTCTTCTTTTGGATGGTAAGGAAGAATGAAGCCACCACTTTGTTGGGTTTCTTCCCAGATGATAATGATGAAGAAGAAGAGGCTTTGCTAAGTTTCAAATGCCGGAAATGGCGTTTGGGACGACGACTACTGGAGAGTCTGACCAGAAGTTTCTTGCAATGCAGCACAATCTTCTGGTTGAATGTAAGTAACGATGATGTCATTGTGGCTCTCATCTCGTGCTATTGATATGTGTTAACGGAAAGCAAGAGTTGTGAGAGAAGAATAAGTTGTTTTGTGGTTCTGTATGTGCTTCATATGTGGGTTCTCTTTTGTAGACCATAGACTCTGGAGGTGGGTTTCACGTTTTTGAAGCCTGGCTTAAGGTTTGTGGTAAGCCATGATTATGCTCTTCACGAAGTCTTTATCTTGTCTCTTGTCCCTACTGACCAAGTCCTCTTGCTAAAATTGGTCAGATCATTTTCTTATTCCTATTTGTATTACCAAAGACTATATAAGAAAAGTCATGTGATGCACTAGTTCTCCAAACAAAATTATTTTAAAAATACGTTCACAAAAAAAGCATATTCTTTTTTTTTTTCTTGCAAACTCAATTTTTTTTTTGTATATTTAACTTCAACGTGTAATTCATTTATTTAAGTAATGACAGATATCATTTTAAATTCAGATTTAAAACCGTAGGTTCTGAATGGCAACCAGATAAAATAATAGTAGTATATTGTGCTGTAATGTAAAATCTGAATATTATTTTTATAAAATAGTGTCTAACTAAAAACTTTCTCACCGATAAAATCCTTATTAAGAGACCAGTTTTAATTTTTGTTTACTGTATGTAAATGAATAATTATATTTTTGCTATTATAGTTGAATAAAAAAAAATTAAAGAGTTCATTAGGCATGTTTGAATAAGAATGAAAAGAGTAAATCAGTCAATAAAAAAAGCTGATCCCTCAGTCTCAGTCTCGCCTTATCTCTTTCCTGTACGGGAGATTCTGCTTTTTTCAGCATAGAGACAAAAAAAAAAAAACAAAAAAAGAATCACTCCACCAACTCACACTAGACCGAAAAGAGAGAAACGAACTCTGAAGCGAGCGAAAAACTTTCGTTCAAAAAATCATGCCACCAGGTGCGAAGAAGAGAAAGGCGTTGAAGAAGAAGAAGCAGCAGGAACAACAGGAATCGATTGGAACATGTACGATCACTAATGGCGATAAACTCCATGGTACATTTCTTCACCTCTCTCTCCAGGATTCGTAGTTGCTAGGAATCGATAGATTCGTCTTGAATGGATTATCGTATAGTTTTGGATGGATTGGTGTATAGGGAGAGAGATCTGTTTGATTACTCCTCTGCTCGATCATTTGTGCCTTTTTGTTTTAGAATGCTTCGTTCATGACTCATGAGCTACACTTTGTTTGACTGATGAAGAAGAAGAGCAGAGTTAGTTATTTTTGTTTTTACTCAATAGTATTTGTTTGATCTTTGTGAAGAGAAAGGACATGGAAGCCAAGATGATAGGGAGAGTGATGATAGCAATTCGAGTTCCCCTGCTTCTCAAGGAAATGAGACAAAGGATCCATCTGCTTCTTTCGTGAATGACATTGCTGAAGAGATATCAGATCTTGTTACTCAGAGACTAGGATCAGAAAATGGAAATGCTATTTCTGTTGAAAGAGGAACTGATGACAAGAAGCTTATTGTGGAGAAACCGCTCATCTCCTCTTCTCATGATCCTTGTGTTAAGAAGATCGCTCCTGTTGTCGATTCTGTCTCCAAAGTAGTGATCTCTGTAAAGAGCGAGCATCCTGAGACCTTAACACACTTAAATTTTGATGAAAAGAAAGAGTATCCTTCTACGGGACTGGAGAAAGGTAATGGTGAGGTGGCTACTCTTCCTGATTCTGCTGCTTTAATAAGCAGAAAAGTAGAGAGTCTAAAAGAATCTGAGGTTACAGTATCATCTGAGGAGAAGGTATCATCTCTTAGTTTTCCTTCTTCTTTCATCATGCACATGTGAATAATACCTCTTTGCTCAGTTGGCTGATACTTCCTGTAACGTATGCAGCGTCTCTCGTTGACTGGTCCACCAGCCGTCCGAACTTCGTGGTTAAGTTGCTGCGGTTTGTTTGATGCAGTGACAGGATCTGACAGATAAACACAGGTTAGTCTTGGTTTGTACTTTACCTGGCTGCGGCTCCTAATTACTATGATCTTCCGTGACGTATTATGGGTCCTGTATGTGTGGATCATGTTCTTGGATTTGTCAATATTTCACTGATACTGCTTCACTTAATCGTCTGACCATCTAAATGGTCTAGTAAGAGGGTTCGTGGAGTTTAGAATCTTTGGATTTTGAGTGGCTCTTTAAGTAGAGTGTTTTCAGCTCAGTTTATCCACCTTGACTGTGACTGAATTGTTTAGCCCATATAGGCATTTCGAGTTATTCTATGGTAGGGATTGAGGTTGTTTAGAACTGGATTTCAAATGCCAAGCTATCTAAAACTACAACTCATGCTTGGTAAGTTAATTGTGTGAAATTTTTACTCTTGCTACAACTAGATTATAGTCTCGCAGGAATCTGAAGTTTATAGCCAATGCATAATTGCCTTCTGGTATTTCACATCATTCTGTTCTCAAAAACTTTGATTGTGTTTATATAATATATACTTTCCCTCAAGTTTAGTTTCTCCTTTTTCTTGTTTGCAATTCTTGATATCTATAAGCTACTTGTATATATGTTCTTTGTTTTGGCTGTCACAAAATCTTGTAAAAAATGGCAACTAGCATAAACTCATCTCCTAACATAGAATAGATTCTTGCACTCCACTCTCCGCCAGGGATCAAATCCTCTTTTTATGTTCTTGTGTGAATCATTAACTACATTTTCTATTATGCTAAACCGTATCATTGACGTGTGTTCTCTGCATTATATAGACAGGCGTTAGATAAAGGTAGACGCACATGACAGCCAAAGCTCAAAGACAACTGCAAAAAAAAAAAAAAACAGGATTCACGGTCTGTACTCTTTTCTCTGTACATCGTCGTTGATAGATAATAATGTGGGCGGCTTTTAGCAACATACGAAAAGACCAACATCCTTTAACAGTGTTAAATGTTAGATTCATGAGACTAAATATAGCTCTATTTTTACTTACCAGTACCACATTTATCATTCATCTTCTCTATGTAGTTCATTAGATATATGTCGAAGCCTGATCCATTTCAATCCTCAAATTTGATTTTATTCCACGAACACAAAGTGACACACACACACAAAACAAGATCTGATCCTTTTGTACACAAAGAATGCATGAATATAATCTTTACTTAAACTTCCTATTACAATAAAATCACAAACACAAACACTCACACACTCAACCCGAGTGTCGGAATGATTGACATGAAAAGTAGAAAGAAACTCGAAAGCACATGATTTCTTAAGAAGGTCTCCTCACGCCATGCACAGCAGCGATGTAAAGAAGCTGTGTGACTGAGAGTATGATCAAGAACGCCTCCATGGTTCTCTACAAAGAACAGGAGAGTAACGTGAATCCCATAATTGTGGATTTTCCTAAACTATCTGTAATATTATAATAAGATTTTAGGAATAGAGAAAATTCTCACCAGTTTTGCGTTTCTCTTTTGAAGCTCGATTTCTTTCCAGGCGAATCTGTTGATGGAAGTATGATTAGTCATACCATCTATGTCTCAAAACATAATGTGTTTGCTTGTGAAAAAAGAGAAAGTTTAATAGAGTTTATATTTACCCCATGGCGAGGACTGTGAGGGTCCAGGCAATAGTTGCAGCTGCGGCTGCAGCGGGTAAGCTTCCCACAGTCCAAGAACGAATGTGGCTAAGGCCTGAGATTGTGGAAGCCGCACCAACTACTCCCGCAAGCAACGCGAATGTCACAAAGAACCCTGTTGCTGCGTTTCCCATCGGAAAATATATTGGGGAGAAATGTGCTGGCAACTTGAGATCAGGACCTTGTTTTCAAAAAGAATCCAAAAAGATAGAAGCTAAAGAACAACAAAGCAACCAAGCAAGCGAGTTGGAGATGAGTTCAGAATTTTGATGGTGTTTCTTACCAATTTCGAATCCGTGGTCTATTGCTCGGTTCATGGCCCATCCTCCAATCCCTAAAACAATCACATACATGCAAAAGTTCAACACCAGAAGTAGAGAAGCAGCAGGTTTCATTTGCTCACCCGCCATTTCACCTTTTGTTTTGATTTTTTTTTTAACTACAAAAACAGGAGAAGAGAGGAAAATAAAGTTTGTTCTTATGTTTGGAACAAGATATGTGAAGCTACTCTATATAGTAACATGCATTGTTCTTTTCTTGTTAAGGCTGTTGGTAATAAAAGAATGGTTTATTAGAGAGTTGTAAAGTTGATAGCTTCAAGTTCAAGGCAACATTATAAAAATAAAAACCCAATATTCTTGGCTTTGCTCCTTGTACATCGAAAGTATTGTACAATTTTTCAAGAGCTTTTTATAAAAGATGTTCTTACAGAATACAAAAGGTAAGATTCTTTGGCAGTTTAATTCTCCTTACTACTTGCTTTCTATCCAACTGAGTCATAATTAAATACTTTTTATACAATCTCAATGATTTGAAGAAACTACAGAATCTTTGCGTTGGTACGTTAATGTAAAATATCCAATAGCATCTTAGGAATTTTTGTCTACTTCATATCCAATTCCCCTTTTCAAACAGAGAAGAGTAGTAATTTTTTGTTTATGTATTAAGTTTACAAAGAAAAATCTATCTTCTCTTTAGGGATTCTAGAATACAACCAGTTGTTGAGTATGTTGTTCTTGTTGTTGTAAAGACCACTTAGCACTAGAGACTGAAATTAGCATAGCCTTTTCCGTGTCTTCATCCATCTTGATGATAAAAATACAAACTTGATATGGTGTTATTATCATCTATTATAATAAAATAGATATTTAGTAATATCATTTCAGTGACATGGTCTTAAGACTCAGTTAAGAGATTTAAAAACTTGCCATTCTCCACTTAGTTTCATATCTTTCTCTCTAAAAATATCTCCATGAGTCAAACAATTATTGATCCTTCTCCAATCTCTCAAGGGAACGACGACGACACACCTTTGCCAGGCCACGAGTTTGCTCAGTTCAGCGCTGGATGCTTCTGGGTTTACGAACTCGTGTTTCAGAGGGTTCCGGGGGTGACTCACACCGAGGTTGGATACAGCCAAGGGATCATCCACGATCCTTCGCATGAGGATGTTTTTTCTGGTACCACAGGTCATTGCGCGGTCGTTAGGGTTCAGTATGATCCCAAGTCTTGTAGCTACGACTCTCTCCTTGACGCGTTATGGACTTGGCATAGTCCCCCTACGATATATTTTCCTAATGTAATAATAAAGTTTAATTTCGTGTGGTTAATTGGTAAAAAAAATGATGTTTGAGTTTACTGTGACACAGGGATATGATAAGGGACCTCAACACCGATCAGGGATATACTTCTACACACCAGAGCAGGAGAAAGTATCCCGCGAGTCACTAGAGCGTAAGCAGCAAGAAACGGAGCGCGGGAAGATTATGATTGAGATCTTGCCCGCTAAGAAATTTTATAGAGCTGAAGAATGCCATCAGCAGTATCTGTCAAAGGGTGTAGAGTTTGGCCGTGATCAATCCACTGACAAAGGTTGCGAGGACCCTATATATGTGGGTGGTGGTTCATATGTGTGAGATAAGGCATGTGACCCTTTGAAAGTTCTCTCACCTTACCCTACGACATTTTCTTATACAATAACAATTCCTAACGTTTGCACGATTATTACTTGATGTATTTTCTATTATACTATTTGCCATTTTATACAATGGTGTGCCGACAGACATGTAGAAAGATCTAATAAAGTCGTTGATTGTGCTTTATTTTAAATTTTAATATTCTTTTTTTTTTTTTTTGTCATCAAATTTTATTATTCTATTTTTGTTGTTTTTGTTTTCTTTTGTATAAGGCAAAGGAAAAAAACGATATAGTAACATATTGTAAACTCAGTTGAACCCGTTTCACTTCGATTTCGGTTCTACATCGTGTTTCAGTTATACAGGGTATGTGATTAATAAGTACAAACTTAGCTAACTTTCATTTAACAAAAAAATGGTAAAATGATTTAAAAGTAATTACTAAGAGGAGAAAACTATAAACAAGTTAAATTAGTAACTAACTGCTTTATAAAAGTATGAAACATTATTTAAAACTAAAAATAAAGTAAGATTGTTTAAACTTTAGCAAATCTATTCATAATTGAATTTCAGAGACCAGTGTCATACATAAAAACTTTAATCTTTGATAAAATACCAAAATATATAATGAACTAATTATTTATCTAATAGATATTTACACTTAAGCAACGCAATAGTATTTTAGATATTTATTTGAGATTGAGTTCGGGTTTAGTATAAGTTTCTTTTGGGATTATTTTTCTGATTTTCATTTGATATGGATAAAATCTATAGCATTATACCGATTCATATTTGTCGGTTGGGTCCAATTCGAGAAATTCGGTTCGGTTTGGATAGATCTTCTATCGGTTTGGTCTGGGTTTTTAGATTCGATCTATTCGCCCTCCCACTCCTAGTACTCGTTGATAGCTTAGCTGTTAATGTCGGTGACCGACGCGGGAGGTCAATCGAATAGAATAATCAAATCTTCGAAGACGAAATTTAAAAAGAATTAAAATTAAATGAAAATGTGGGTGGAAATTGAGATCCAATAATTCTGGTATTTTAAGGTCACAACCCACTCACTCACTATACAGAGTAAAAGAAAAAGAGTAGTAGATCAGATCGATCATATACTCTTTCTTTCTACTAGATCGGGATCTGGACCTTTCTCTTTCAAGTTGCAGCTGATAAAGTTGCAATCTTTTGGGGAGATCTGAGTCTGCAAACACCTTTCTCTCTGGTAATCTTTTTGCTTGAACTACTCAAAGTCTATGGCTTTCCTTAAATGTTTCTAGGTGATCTTTCTTCTTTGTTTATAACTTATGTTTTGCTCACAGTAAGTACTATGCTTTGAGCAACCATAAGAAAAAAGTGATCTGCTGTGGGTTTTGGCTAATGTTTCACTTTTATTTATATATTGGAGTGTTTTTTCTTTTGTTGATTTTAGATCTGCAGTTGCATGTTCTCTGCTGTAGATTCTCTATAGTATTATAGTGTCATGTTATTAAGCTCAGTAATCAGAGAATAAAGCTCAAGTATGGGAGTAATAGTCAATAGTGTCTACATTTCTCTAGAAACCCAACATCCTTGTCAGTGGATCTTCCTTATCTATCAGTGTAGACAGTCTTTTGAATTGGTAGTATCTAAAAAACAACAGACCTTTTTTCATACTTTTTTTTTTCTGGTCACTAAAGTCGTTTTAGTCTCTTCATATTAATGGGTGTTTCAGGTGCATGTGACTAGGGACTAAGAACATGGCAATGGGGAAGTATTCTCGTGTAGACGGGAAGAAGTCATCAGGCAATGGCTTAACCATTACTATAGTTGTAGTTGTTTCTCTCTGTTTGGTTGGGGCGTGGATGTTCATGTCTTCATGGTCTCCCTCAACTGAGTCTGTTGACTTCTCTTCAAGCCAGATTGCAAAGGATGTGGAAACTAGTACTAAGAGTGATGTCACTAACGAAGAAGTTGGCAAGAGTGAGGTTGTGACAGAGAGCAACGAAGAGAAGCCTGATCCTGAGAGCTCTGTTGAGAAAAAGGAATTTGAAGACAATAATGGAGAAGGAGATAGAAAAGATGGGGAGGGTGAGAAAGACACGGAGACAGAGAGTAATGAAACGAAGGAAAAAGAGAAGACACAACTGGAAGAGAGCTCAGAAGAGAACAAATCAGAGGATGGTAATGGAACCGAAGAGAACAAATCAGAGGATGGTAATGGAACCGAAGAGAATACTGAAGAAAACACCGACAAGAAGACAGAAGAAAACACTGGTGAAACTGAAGAGAAGACTGAGAAGAACACTGATGACCAGGCTGAGATTACAAAGGAGTCAAGCACTGGAAGTGGTGCTTGGTCTACTCAATTGGTTGAGTCGCAGAACGAGAAGAAAGCGCAAGTCTCTTCTATCAAGTGGAAACTCTGCAATGTGACAGCTGGACCAGACTACATCCCTTGCCTTGACAACTGGCAAGCTATCAAGAAGCTTCATTCCACTAAGCATTATGAACATCGTGAGAGGCATTGTCCTGAGGAATCTCCAACCTGCCTTGTTTCTCTTCCAGAAGGATATAAACGATCCATCAAGTGGCCTAAGAGCAGAGAAAAGGTGAAAAAAAAAATCTAATTTAAACTTATGTTTTGTTTTGTCAATGATGTCCATTAACTCTTTATGTTTTGTGTTTCAACAGATCTGGTACAACAATATTCCTCACACCAAGCTTGCACAAGTGAAAGGACATCAAAACTGGGTGAAGATGAGTGGTGAATACTTAACATTCCCTGGTGGTGGTACTCAGTTCAAGAACGGTGCTCTTCACTATATCGATTTCCTCCAAGAGGTACTTGCAACTTATTTTGGTCTACAACAACTTTCTCATTGACTATTAACATTTTTATTTGTATTGCAGTCATATCCTGATATTGCTTGGGGAAACAGAACACGTGTTATATTAGATGTTGGTTGTGGTGTTGCTAGCTTCGGAGGATATCTTTTTGACAGAGATGTGCTTGCCTTGTCATTTGCTCCCAAAGATGAACACGAGGCGCAGGTGCAATTTGCTTTGGAACGTGGTATCCCTGCAATGTCAAACGTTATGGGAACCAAGAGGTTACCTTTCCCAGGATCTGTTTTCGACCTTATCCACTGTGCTCGTTGTAGAGTCCCTTGGCATATTGAAGGTGGTAAACTGCTTTTGGAACTGAACCGTGCATTGAGGCCTGGTGGTTTCTTTGTCTGGTCGGCGACTCCAGTTTACAGGAAGACCGAAGAAGATGTTGGCATATGGAAAGGTTTGGAACTTTTGTTTCCTTTTTTGTTTTGGTTATGAATAAGACTAACTTGTGAGATGCTTCTCTCTCTGTTTTGTTAGCTATGTCGAAGCTAACAAAGGCAATGTGCTGGAAACTAATGACGATTAAGAAAGATAAACTGAATGAAGTTGGTGCTGCCATTTACCAAAAGCCAATGACTAATGATTGCTACAACCAAAGATCTCAAAAAGAGCCACCTCTCTGCAAAGACTCTGATGATCAAAATGCCGCTTGGTAAGTTTTTATAGAATCCCTTTTTCTCAGATCAATTAACTAGTAATGTTGCTAAAAGTATGTGTATGTGTCTGATGCAGGAATGTTCCACTTGAGGCATGTATGCACAAAGTGACAGAGGATTCATCAAAACGCGGAGCAGTTTGGCCTGAGAGTTGGCCAGAAAGAGTAGAGACAGTTCCTCAGTGGTTGGATTCTCAGGAAGGTGTGTATGGAAAACCTGCACAAGAGGATTTCACAGCAGACCAAAAACGTTGGAAGACTATTGTCTCAAAGTCATACCTCGACGGTATGGGAATTGATTGGTCTTATGTGAGAAATGTGATGGACATGAGAGCTGTCTATGGAGGGTAAGTACAATCTTATCACCAGTACAAAACTTGGCTACATGTATCCGTTACTAAATGATATCTCGCTTTCTTGGTTTCAGGTTTGCTGCTGCTTTGAAGGATCTGAAACTGTGGGTGATGAATGTAGTTCCTATTGACTCAGCTGATACACTACCAATTATATATGAACGTGGTTTGTTTGGAATCTACCATGATTGGTGTGAATCATTCAGCACTTACCCTCGAACTTACGACCTTCTTCATGCTGATCATCTTTTCTCTTCACTGAAGAAGAGGTATATGCATATATATGATATGCATCTCTGTGACAATTTTTTAATTGCAAAATCTGATGAATATATGTGTAAACAAAACCCATTCAGGTGCAGCTTGGTGTCGGCTATAGCTGAAGTGGACAGGATTCTTAGACCACAAGGAACGTTTATAGTAAGAGATGACATGGAAACAATAGGAGAAATTGAGAAGATGGTGAAATCAATGAAATGGAATGTAAGAATGACACATTCCAAAGATGGAGAAGGAGTTCTCTCTGTTCAGAAGTCATTGTGGCGTCCTACAGAGGTCGAGACAATTACATCTGCAATAGCCTGAAGGTAAAGAAAACGAAGAAGAAGAAGAAGAATATGGGGATTTTACTTTTTATAGTTGTATGATTAAGTTGTTTCTTTTATGATCACATTGATTGTTACTAGTCCAACATTTGTATCTCTTTCTCCTTTGCTTTGACAAAAATTGTATACTGTCTCAAAAGTGTAAACTTATTGAGTTTTTGGTTTGGTCCTAAAGACCCATGAAAGTATAAACCATTCTGGAAAGTAAAATATAAATATGATCTTGCTACAGACCAAGGTTATACATTTGGTTCAATTTTAAGGAAGAAAACAACAGTGTCTATAAACCAACTCAGTTACAAAAAAAAAACATACAGTGTCATCATCTCTTGTAAGGCTGAAAAGGATATCTCTGAAACTCAGATCCAAAGGTAATAGACTCCTCATCAAGTTTCTTCTTCAACCTCCTCCAAGTCCTCAACTTATTAGACTGAATCAACCCTTTATACAACGTCTCAAACGTCACCTTCTGCGGCAAGAAACCTCTCTCAATCATCTCCACAAAATACCCACAAGCCTCCCTCCATTTCTCCTTCCCACACAACCCATGAACCAAACAAGTATACGAATCCAAATCCGGACCCGTCACACTCCCTCTAAGATCACACCAAATCTCCTCCACAATCTCCATCTTCCCCAAATTCACAAACGCACCCAACAGAACATTATAAGTCCTCGTATTCACCTCACACAACCCACCTCTCATCTTCTTATACAAATCCATCGCCCCACTAACATCTTTCCTCCCTTTATACTCCTTGAAAAAACAGTTATACGTGGCGGAAGACGGACTAATCCCGTCTCCCACCATCTCCTCAAGCAGCTCCTCGGCTTCCTCAAGCCTCCCACAGGAGCACAAACACTTCACAACGGAAGTGTACGTCTCCACGGTGGGGCTAATCCCTTTAACCTTCATTAACTTCAGTTTATCCAAACTCAACTCGGACTTATGCGCCCGACTATACATATGAAGAACAATCGAGAAGCTCGTGACGTCGGGCTCGATCCCTCTCTCACGCATTTCATCGAACACCTTCTCCGCACTCCTCACATTCTTTTCGAACCTCTCTTCGGGATGCAAACTCGCCGTCCGGCAGATTCCGTTGAGGAGGACGTTGTAGGTGACGACGTTAGGCTCGATCCCGGACTCGATCATCTCCGATAAGAGCCTCTCCGCCGTATCGATCCTCCGGAGCTTACACCATCCCGCGATGAGGATCGTGTAGATCTTCGCGTCGGATCCGAGGACGGATCTGCGCTCGTTGAAGACTCCGACGGCTAACCTCGTGTGACCGTATTTGCAGAGGGTGTCGAGGAGGAAGGCGAAGTGGTGGAGGGTGAAGGGAGTTTGGAGGAAGGTTGGAGCGTCGTCGAAGGTTCGCAGGGCTTGGCGGGTGAGGCCGGCGGCGATGAGGCGTTTGACGAGGATGAGGAAGGTTTCGGGGGAAGGATCGGTTTCGGAGATGAGGTGGCGAACGACGTCGAATTGGCGGACTTTGGCGAGGATGTCGATGAGGAGGTTGAAGGAGGTGGGGGTTGTGGGAGGGGAGGGTGAGGAGCGGAGGTGTTGGAAGAAGGAGAGGGCAATTTTGGAATTGTGGCGGAGGCGGAGGAGGGTTTGGTTTACGAGGTGAGGGGAGAGGGAGATTCCGTGGAGTTGGAGGGGGGATTCTGTGAAGTGGAAGGGGTTGTGGTTTGTGATTAGGATTTGGGTTATTAATTCGGCGTCGTTTGAGGGTTCGAGTTTTGGGAGGTTTAGGGAGAATCCGGTTGGGGTTGTGGTTGTGGAGAGACGACGGAGGAGAGGGAAGGTTGGTGGTGGGATTTTTTGGTGAAGCATTTTTTGATGCAAATGGTTTTGCTCTGAACAACTCAAAAGATACTGTGGTATACGTTTTCGCGCTTCGGTTAACTAAAACTGGACCGAGCCAGATTTATTTCGGATAATTTACTGATCGGTTTAACCTGAATAACCGAATCAAACCCAAAACTTTTAGATGTTGAGATTCGGTCTAAGAGTTGCAGAGAACTCCCAAACTTCAGACGCATTTAGACATTCAATTTTATTACTACATTGATGAATCTAACTTAGTCAGTCTAGGAACTCCCACGGTCAAGTGAATGAATAACAAAGTTGAAGTGTATTTCTGGCTATACATGATCAAACTATTTTTTTGGTTTAGTTGCTCTAAAGATCAAATAGTTTCTCTTTCTAAATTTATTTTAAAAAAGACTCATAGACTTGTAATCAACACTCTGTTTCATATTTGCATCAAATTAAACAAAATTCACATCAAACCAACCCAATATTCGAACCAAAAATTATTTGGTCATGAAACCGAAATAACCAAAGTTTTTAATCATAAGCAAAAGGACTGCTCCGAGCTAGATCCAACTGACTAGTAAAACCTTGAAACACGGATAAGATTCAAGATTTCAGTCGAAATATTTCACCTTTCATCGGGTAGAGCCTCAGTGAGAGTTTACTACTTTGGGGCGATGATTGCAGATGCAGCAGCAGCTTCTGCAATGAGAGCAACTGGTTGACGAGCTTGAAGGCAAGCACAAATGTCAAAAGGGTGCAATTCTGAACCATCATAGAGGAGATTTAGTCCTGGAAGAACCACTTCTCGGCTATCTGCTTCGTCAGCATCTGCCTTTGTTGCAGTTGAAGGTGCATTCTCGTCTATGGTCCTAGTGGTTGCTTCATATACAGGGCACGTGTAGGATCTGCGACCACACCCCCATGAACTCATCAAAAGACCGAGAAAAGAATGAAAAAAAAAATCAAATTGGAAGGAGCTAAAACTGACCTGAGAATGCTACCATCAAAGCTCAGAACTTCAGTCCGGCAACGTTGGCGATTAGCTAGTTTCAACCTTTGAAATTCGCTTGTGGCACCTGAAATTGGCGAGGAAGGGTCCACGAGTGGGTTCCATTTGCCGCTTGCATAGTTCATGAGCTTACTACGAGGAGCCTCCTTTGCTTGTTCTTTCTGGTAAAGAAGTTTAGCAGCTGGACCTGTTGCTTGGTACTGTGCGCATATATCTTTCAACCTTTTCCTTATGCACTGCATCGCATTGTGCTGTTCCATGAGCGAATCTGCTTGAAGTAACTGTGACGAGACGATTCTTTTGCAGATATGGTTGCATAGCTTTGGACTGAAAAGTGGCAGCCCAAACTCCACTGTTAAAGGGACCCATTCATACTTCTCATCATCGTCATCATCAGGGGAAAAGTAGCCTGCTGGATCCTTTGCTTTAAAGAGTTTCAAAAGGCGAATGTAACCCACTGTCCACAGTTCCATGTTGTTCGCCAACTTCGTTAAGAGAGAGTTCAGCTTTGTGTTTTCCTCAAGAGGAAGCCCAAGCTCGTCGCCGAAATGAGGAATGGAACCATCCGAGTTCTTCAGGGGTAATGGTATATCTAAAGTGACGATTCTTCCAGCGCTGTCAAGATCATGCTTGCTGAGAGGCTGAACGAGAATAGCTGAGTATTTGAGAAGGCAATTCAAACAGTGTAGCAGTATACTTCCCTTGACCAAGTTACCTTCAAACTTGTTTCCTAAGCCACCAACCGAAGATCCATCCCATGACCAAATGAGAGCTTTCTCACAGCCAGCTAGTGGAGCAGGAAGCATCCGCAGACACTGACCTTTCATCAAGATAACCGACAAAGGCCCAGTGCCTACGGTTGAATACAATACCAGTTTCATCCACTGGGTCATCGATGAATGGGAGGGAGGACCGAAATGAACGGGGCCTGAAGGTCCAGGTAGGACAGTTGTCAGTGGAAGAGGAACCATTGAAACAACAATATCGTAGTCTCGGGAAAACAAACGATCAAGAGTAACTGGTGTTAGAGAAGCCAGACTTTCACAGCGAAGAATATCAACGCGATATCTCTTCCTTTTCTTGTTTTCTTTACCGGTGTCGAGTCCTTCTACGGGGATCGGCTTCCCATCATTCTGAAGGCTTAGGTTGGAATTGAAGGTCTCGGTCAAGGCAGTAGTATCATCGGTTAGTGTAGTCGACGCTGCTTCATGGTCAGTACTGGTCAAAGCAGTAGTATCATCGGTTAGTGTAGTCGAAGCCGCTTCATGGTCAGTACTGGTCAAGGCAGTAGTATCATCGGTTAGTGTAGTCGAAGCTGCTTCATGGTCAGTACTGGTCAAGGCAGTAGTATCATCGGTTAGTGTAGTCGAAGCTGCTTCATGGTCAGTACTTTCAGGGACACGCTCTGTCGACAAGGAATCCTCCTGAGGGGCATCTGAAACCATTGAAGCCTCACTATTTTGGCTGGTTAAAGAATCTCCAGCATTATCAGGAGAATGAACATCAGCAAGAAGAGTTACAGCCTCATCATTAATCAAAGTTCCTGGGCCCACAGTATCAACTGCTGTATCAGTAGCAACTCCACCAGATATCAAACATTCCAAGACACAACGAAGGCTAAAGGCATGATTTGCAAATTCTTGCAGTTCACCCTCAAATTTAGCTCCCTCTAATGTGCTCAAATCGTTGCAGAGGTCCGGGATACTAGTATGCCCGAGCTTCCCAGCTTCATAGAGTGTTACAGCATGAGATTTCAATCCTATAACAATGTTCATTAACATAGATGGAATATATTAGACTAATGCAACAAAATTTAGTTGATATTTATGGGCTCTCAATATCTATAAGTTGAGCATCAAATGGAACTAGGAAAGGATACCTGGCGAGACAGAACCCATCATTAGATATGATGTTATGTTAGCATCGACTATGAAAGCAACTCGAACATGACTAGAACGTAATCCAGAGTTTTCTGTTCCTAAATTATCTCCATTTTGAGCCGCCTCACCATCAGCAGAACCTAAACCGTCTTCATCACTGTGGATGGCACGTGGAGACCCAGGCATAATCTTGTCATGAAGCACAGAAGCCGGATCAATTAACTTTACAGCCCATCCCAAGCGGCAAACAAAAGATGCAGCAGCCTGTAATTGAGCTAGGTCAGCTTGCAAAGTGGATGCCAACTCTGCAACTGTTGAGTTCTCATTTGAAACTACAAAAACTGCATAGAGTAATCTGCAAAATGAACTTGCAGCTATTAGAATTCTATATTATCTCAGGGAACTAAATCCAAGATGAGCTAAGCTTCAATGTAGCCAATAGATTTCTTACTCTTCAATGGGATCTTCATAAGACTGCTCTCTGTTGGAGATGAACCCTTCAAGCTTTGAAACTGAAACAGCGATGCAATGCATGTCAGTGAAATCTTAGTCTCACGAGTGAAAATACCATACTGACATACTGGAATCTAAGAGCAGACAATTGAGAAGGTTTCCTGGCTTTGTTCCAAGTAAATAAATATAGCATCAAATTGTATTGGCAAAAAGCCAACAGTCTCCAACCTTGAAGTACATAGATGGGGAGACTTTTAAAAAGAGAACGTAATGTATAAATATTGGCAAGCAAAAACTCACCTTTAAAGCGGTCATCCTGGTAGACTGGGACATCAAAATATATCAATCCCCTTTGGTAGAGACCTTTTATGACTTCCGGGTCAAAGAGAACATATGCATTAACTTCCTCTTTGCAAATTTTATCTATAGTCGCCGTTTCATCTTCTGAAAGTTTCTATGCAAAGAACAAAAATTAAGATCTGCTATCAGACAAGGAACAGTACTATTGCAGTGACATCTCAGAAGTTCACTATCAGCGAAATTGGTTTCATAAGAAAGAAGCATTGAAGATATAGACGAGCTTAGATCACCTTAAACTCTTCTATGGTGAAGTTAACAAGGCAAACACCCCACCAAGGGTCAATAGGGAAATCCACAGGTTGAGTAGGTAGGAAATCTTTGGCAATCGATTTGTTTAGCTTCCACATAATTTTCTGGAAAGCTCAACACATACATGAAAAGAATTAAGACATAAAAGAAGCTGGACAACTTTTAAGGCTCGAGGAAAAGTGATTCTTTGTAATAATTTATTTACGAATTCCAGTGGCAAAATTGAAATCAGGAAAAACTATATCATGAATTTCGTAAACTTTGAATTCCCATATTTCATACACGAATAGATTATTTGAGTAGAAAGTCAAAGCCAAATAAAATATCAAGTGTAACTTGCACAGTATATCAGTGCATAGTCTAGATGTAGAAGTACCTTAGATCTGCATTTATTCATGATATCAATAAATTCATTTCTCCCTATGCCCGTAAGCCTGAAAGCATCTGCCGCACTGAAGTTTGGGATACTGTCATAAGGTTGCTCTGTGTCAAATAGAAAAGGAATGAGGATGAAAAACTCGTGGGATAGTAGAATTCAAGTGAAAAGCGAGCTATAAAGTGAAGCAACAATATACCATTTCGCATGACTTCAAATATCATATCACAGTAGTATCTGAAAGGTGATATCCTCATCACACGACAAATATGCTCCGCAAGGTGATACGGAAACAGCTGCAGGTAAATATTAAAATAATTAAGATTACGGATCCTGCAACAGTAACAAGAAGAAGAATAAAAAAATGTACAAATCTATATCAAAAAGAATCCCCCTTGTATCAACAGTATTAAATCATAGCTATCTTTCAGAATAGTAGCACTACCATCACAGACTTGTCTAAAAATAAACCTTGTTTGCCACTATTATACTAATCCCAGAATCTAGTCCGATATTTTGTCACTTTAGTAGACAAAATTGTGAAGAGGTATCATTGTTTATTTCCAGAGAAAGCCATTGAATACAAACTAAACAGGAAGGAAGAAAAAAAAACAGATAGACTCTATGGAAAAAAAGATTGGCTATCAACTCTCCTCAAGAATGCCATTAAAATCCATGAACACTTACCGCCAGATTCTTTCGCAAGTAACGCATCATATCTTCATAATATTCACCTTCTTTGCAAACTTTACAAGCAAAACACGTATTCCACAGGAGTCTCTTTTTAATACAATGCTCAACAACCCTGCATACAAGAATCAAAAACACAGTGATCTAAGGATACTGCTGCTATAATTTTGACTTTAATGTTCATTGCTAAAGAAAATAAACAAACCTTCTATGCCATTCATCTTTAGACCCAAGAATAGACTGAAGTCGTTTAGGGAGGTTCTCCCATGGACATTCTTCCCTCACAGCTTTCGATATTAACTGATCCTCCATGGTAACTGGAGTGTGCTGCATCTTCCCCTCCAAAAGTTTCCTTATCTTCCAAGTAACATTGACATAAAAAAATCAAACCAAGTCCAACATCAATAAAGCTTGAAACGAGAAAACAAAACAAGATTTAATCTCTCAAATCAAATCAAGTCGTTCTAATCGCAAATCCTAGCTCAATTTCTAACCATAATCGTCTTCGTTCGCGTATTGAGTTAACTAAACACACAGAAATGCAGACGCTACTCGGCGATTCAAAATGCAGCGATCTAGCAACTTATGATCCGTAACCTAAACGAAAATTCGAAGATGAATTTTAAGAAGACGAGTGGCGATCGGAGATTACCTGAGCTCACCGGCGATTCTAAGAGAAACTAAAGTTTTTTTCTTCACCGGAATCTCATGAGATCTGAAAGCGACCAACGACTGCTCTAAGGAGAAAAGGCAACGGCTCGTGTACACGATCTGGGCCTAAGCTGGCAATGTATGGGCTTTTAAATTAAATATGTTGGGCCCAATATCATAGATAAGTGGGCGAAAACTATTATTCATTCATTTGCACATGTCTTGTGTGTCTAAGATTTGGTGTGCTATTGTTTTAAGATTCACTATTTTTCTCAAGATTCAGAATCTTTTTCAAAAATGTTTAGAATTGTTTTTGAAGGGTTCAGAATTTTTTTTCAATGGTTCAAAATTGTTTCTCAAAACATTACATCAAACCAATACAAACATAAGATATGAAAAATCACATGCTAAAACAGAAGACACAAAATATCTTGCAATGTAACGCGTGTATTTACCTTGTGATATTCAAAACTCAGAGTTTGATTCCCTCGGATCAATCCAAATAATGAATAATTCATAATTTGAATTGATTATATAATTTTAGTTGTTGTATCATTAGAATTTTTTTTAAAAATATGATATCAAACGATATATTTATTTATTTATAAGAGTTTTTAGATTTTATAATCATTTTTAAAATAATTTAAAGTAAATTTTAATTATACTTTAATATTTGTTATGTTATTTGAGGTATTTTTATCAAAGAGAACATAATTTTATAATACCTTCAAAATAAAAGGTCGAATTTATTATTTTAAATTCACATTTTCTATTTATATATAAATCTTATATTTAAAAAAAATTATAGATATTTTCCTTATTCCTATATATAGAAAAGGAAAATTAAATCAAAAGGATTATTATGACAAAAGGAAATTTTATTTTTAATATTAACATATGTATTTAATATTTTACATCGGTAAGGTTATCTTTATTATTAACAGTCTTAAGAATTAACTGAAAGCGGCAACTAATAAACTGATTTCTCAAATATAGCTATAGTTATAATTAACTTTAGTGGAATTAATTTTATATGATCTTATCTAATCTTTGTTGTCTTGAAGGATGCCACCTCGAATCTTATCTTATTTTGATTCAATCTTGTTTAATCGTCTGAGTTTGAAGTAGTATTAAAGATAAGACTCTAATCAATTTAGATGTGAATATTTAAACTCGGCTTAATGGACTTTTAGTGAATTGGATTTTTATGTGAAATCCAGTTCAAACAACACCAGTGATTAAATGGTAATGCATATCTTTGTTTTCATATTTTCATATGTATATGGAAATAAATCTTTAATTCATCCTCTTTTTAGGCAGATTCTATAATCTTTTTGTAAGAGGGAAAACAACCAAATTCCATAATAAAGATTAAAGAGAAATTAATGAATTTGGACCAAGAGTCAAGTCTTTTAGTTGTGTGTATAATGTATATATATATAGCATGACCACCTTATTATTATCATAGTGGAAAAAGAAACACAACTCAAAACATCCATCTAAAATAAAACCGATTTAACGTAGAGAAAGAACCATGTCTGACGCTCACGAGACATGCTGGTGCCACCGCTGCGAACATGAAGCCATTAGAACCTTAGAAGACGTGGTCCTCAACAACGGTTTAGTCCCGACGATTCAAGCCTCTCATTCAACTGAGTCTGAAGTGCACCGTCGGCGAAGGGAAAGACGCATCGAGAGATTAGTCGAGCACTTATCTAGGTATCCAAATACATTGGAAGGAGACGAGGGCAATATTGGTGGAGGGAGAGGAGCACCACCAGCTGCGAAGTCAGCTGTTGAGGCGTTAGAGACTTTCGAGGTTGGTTCTACTAATTGTGTTGAGGAAGGAGAGAGGATGAGTTTGGTTTGTGCTGTGTGTAAAGATGACATTGTGATGGGTGAAATAGGGAAGAAGCTTCCATGTGGACATTGTTACCATGATAATTGTATTTTACCATGGTTAGAGACAAGAAACTCGTGTCCTGTTTGTAGGTTCCAGCTTCCGACTGATGATGCTGAGCATGAGAGGAAGAGAGCAAGAGTAGAACCACCTTTGATTGTTTTTGCTGGTGCTTCTTCTTCTACTTCGATGAGTGGAAGAGAAGAAAATAATGAGCACCATGTTGTTCAGACATTAAGGCGATCAACTAGGAAAAGAAAACCAACCAGAAGGTTCATTGATTGAAATTAACATGTAATCTGCTTGCTTCTTGTTCTAGAGGAATGGCCTTTTCTTTTTTTTTTTTTTTTTTTTGGCAACAGGAATGGCCTTTTCTTTTTTTTTTTTTTTTTTTTGGCAACAGGAATGGCCTTTAAAACTCTAATCTATGAAATTTTTCAATTATTTTTAAGTCTATAACAAGGCCAAGAAATATTGTTTTGAATAAGAGAATTACTTACAAGGCACCCCGAAACCTACCAACCCGTAGGTGTAGAGTCTTGACTTCTCTAAGAATATAAAGGCTCCTCTAATAGGAAGGATTCTCAAAAAATATAATGTATATATTAATATTAATATTTAATTATGAGTTTTTAATTTTATGAAAAATCTAATCCAAAAATTGTCTGTACATACATGTATATAATTTTTGAGAATTCCACAGTTAAAATTCTCTATTGGAGTTGCTCTGAAATACCAACTATATGTTCCTAAATGTAATTTAGCGAATTTTCTTTTTTTATTAAGCATCCAAATATTTATCTATTTTTCTGATTTAACAAGAGTTTACATTTTTTTCATTGGTTTTTTTTCCCGAAACAAATCAATTTGTTTGCTGACATTTAAAGTTTCATTATTGAAAAATAGTTATAGATAACTCAGATAGATCCAAACACTAATTGGATCCAAAAAAGTATTAGTTCCTAAATGGACCAAAACATTCCAAACCCAAATAATTTGAACCAGCCCAAAACGCAACCCATATTATTTTTTTACAAAAATAAACATCCAAGTATTTTAATCTTTTTCCAGATTTCCATTTGTTTTGTGTTATTATGGGTTTAAACCCGAGACAAATCCAAATTATATATCATTCATTTTCGTTGCCATTGGATTAGGTGATCAGCTAATCAAATTAGTAGATGGAGAAAAAGAGTAGTGTTGGTGAACATCAGTTTGTATATTAAAGTAGTTTATATAAATTTCTTTCACTTACAAAGTATCATCGATATTCTGTAATAAAAATCCGTTTCATCAGTCTTTATTCGAATTGATTTAACTTCAAAGAATGGCCACAATAAACAACCCACGTATCTCTTCACATACTGACATACATATAGATCTTTTGTTTCCAATAGCTAATGCAATGACAACTTTCTATGTATGGTGTAATCGCGGCGGTGAAGCTCCGACTAGCGTTTCGGCACCGCTTAATCGGACTCCGCGGCCGCGTTTTCGAACAGAGGATACACTAGGGTTTATTGAATGTAAACAGGTAAAAAGTAACAAATAGCTTACGTAAAAGCTAGCTGTGTCGCAAAGGCCTGTTCAATTTATTGTCTGCCTTTGAAAAACGAAATGTCCAACTACTTTTTTAAACTTTGGACATCAGATACCATAGGCAATTATTACAAATGACACAAAAAAAAAAAAAACAAGTGTATAACTGCAATCTCAGCCGAAAGATGGTGATCTAGTGATTAATAATCACGGAATTATCATTAAATATGGACGATTTTGTTCATCATTGATTGCAGTGAACAAGAGATTAAAAACAAAACAAGAATAAAGAGGTCAGATGGTAGTGCATGTCTTTGAATCAACATAGTAATTCAGATTTGCAGACGTATGGTAATAAAGATCCTCATTCCTCCCACAGAAAAAAATTTAACAATGAATATTGGATCAGAAAATGGCAAATCAATCACTCCGCAAAAGCAGATCAGACTGGGTGTCACAAAACATTATGCCAATCTCATCATATCCATAGACTAGACCCTAAAAATAACAACGAAATCGATAAATCTTTTTTGAATCAGACGAAAATAGTCAATCACCATCTTGCAACCATCGCAATGGATGCAAATAAGACTGGGGCGACAATCACATATCATCACTTTCACGAATCGAAAACAAACAGAACATATAACACTGAAAACAACCTTCTACAGACAACCTAGCTAAGCTATCTAGACAACATAACAAGCATTACTATTGAACGGGAGGCCGCAGGTAGAACTTTTATGAAGTACGCAGCTAAGATTTTAGATTTTATACACAAACAGTTTTAGGGTTTCTCAGAAAGCCGCGCCGCTTTAGATATGGGCTTAGGATTATTATTTAACTAAAAGCTTTATTTATGGGATTTAAATTGGCCCAGCTTCATATCGAACCCAAGAATTTTATGTTCTTAGACTATGTACATTGTGAAAAATTCAACACCCTAATTTCCACTTCTTACACTCCATATATCTTTTCTATCTTCTATCTAATCATTCAACACTCACTTATTTTTCATACTCTACAATAGTTTTGTTTAATAAAAGTCAACATCCTATCCTATATTTTTTTATATTGATAAAATCTTTCAATTCGTTTAATTATAATCATTAAAAAAATCATTTTTATTTTAATTAATATTTTAAAAATAACAAAAATAAAAAATATGAATAGTCATTAAATATGTTTTTAAAACCATATTATTAAAAAGGTTTTATAAAAACTTAAAATGCATTACAATGCAACTAATAAAAGACATATAACTTAATTAATACAATAGACACAACTTGATAGTTGTTGGGATTTGATAGTTAAAAGGGTAATTAGTAGAATTTTGGGTATTAGAAGGATTATTATTAGGATTCATTTTGATAAGGAAATAATTAAGAATATAATCAAGAGTTTAAAAGTATATGATAGAAAATTATAGTAGAAAATAAAAGTTTTTTTTGGTATCAAAATTGAATGAACCAAGTCTATATTTATAGAGAAGAAAAAATTATGAATTTTGATATATGAAAAATAAATTTATAAATTCTTTTTCTTATAAATAATTGTTGTAGAAAAATTGGGATAAGAAAAATAAATCAAGAATCTAAATGATCCAA